AGAATTGATTTCCGGTAGATACTGTAACATAGCAACACGTCATCAATTGACAGTACTGGCAAGGCTAGTGTTAGGACAACTAGCGTAGGAATTGTTATTTATTCCTGCGTTTTTTTATTTATTTTTTGACTGGCAGTCAAATTAGCAACAGAAGTGAAAGCTGTAGTAATATAAATGTTCAGTAGCTCGTCTGTGTTATTGGCGTTACTGTCCAACGTATATCTGTGGACATGTTGCTACAGTGTTTGTATTAGCAAAATACAATGACATGCATGTTATCAACTGTTAGTGCTAATAATAACAACAACAATACCGATCTTCCGACTGGAACACGGCCAACTCTTGAGTGACGTCATTCCCAGCTCCAGCATCCGCCGTCCGAGGTACTGTAAATGAAACGCAGCATAACTCCACTGTGTGCGGGCAGAGTTACTCTGTCCCTAAATCACCTCAGTGCACTCACTGGACCTGGGGTTTCATCACAGACACAGTGTGCCCAAAACACTGCAGCAGATTGTCAGCATTGTCTGGTCTAAATAGGTCATCCTAATTATCTTCTGAGACCTGTAAGGCTGGAGCCAGGTTTATGCCAAAAACCTGAAGAGAAACATTTTCTCTCTGTCTGTTGACACAGTTCTCATGAGCGTAGCATGTTCAGATACGGGCCTACCATCCCGTGTGGGCAAATGACAAATTTCGTTGTTTTCCAAAAGAAATCAAATGATCCTTTTGTTGTACTCTCACTGGATTAGTGCTATTGTTGTGCAGTTCCCATGGCTCCTTCTTTACTGAGCCGGGGAGGCTGCTCACTTTCAGGCTTTCTATTTGGACCTAGAATAGTGTGTCAGCCCCTCTGCAGGGCTGTTAGCCTCACTGTTTTATAGCTCCCACTGGCCAAGTGCCATCAAAACACATTAACAGGAGTTAACAGACTCATTTAATAAGTACTGCAATAAATATCATAAAATGTTCAGTAATTTGTGCTCATTTTTGTGTAACAACTACATTGACTGTTCGCTGAAGAATGTCTTGTTTACTAAATGCCTTCTTCTTGTTTCTTCCTGTATTTTTCCCCCTTGGGGAGTGACTCATTCTTGTCCCCTGCTCTTTTCTTGTATAATGAACCATCACAAAGCAGCTTCACAGAGCGTCTGCCTCCTCTGACACAATGTAGTCATTACTTCCTGTTTAATTGCGGCGAAACAATTGTGAATTTTTGCTTTCATTCTTTGAAAAAGGAGCATTACTGTATATGTAGATCTTATGAATCAGTGTCAGCCTTATTGCTCTGAGTAGGGGATGAAGTGCGATTAGTGTGAGACAAATCACTGTCTCTGGGTTGTGATGGATGGGCAGGGTCAGAGTTTTTATCAACAGATCTCCAGACAAAACAATCGCTCAGACAAACACACAGGTCAGGTCAGAGTGCCAGTGCTGCCAGTCTGTGATCTAAAGCATCTTTTCAGTCTGGCTCACTGTGAAGACTGAGAGCAACCTGTGAGATACACTGGTGCTGATGTCATCAGCTTCAGTCGACACCCTGCTGCAGCAGACAGCACTCTGCTTGACTCCGCTTAGTTAGTCTTCTGTACAAACAAAGTCATCTCAGCCGTGGAAGTGAGACACACGCACACACACACACACTCACAGACACACACAGGAAAAACAACATAGCTATGGTTCAGTTAACAAACTCACATTCACCCACAGCAATCAACAGTGTGTGTAGTCATGGTAATATCTGTTAAGGGGGTTTGAATGTATATGTTTTGTGTGACAATACAGTATGAGGTGAACGATAAGTGAATTCAAAAGTGACCATTCCCACTAAAATCTTCATGCATCATATGCCCTCATGTACACGAAACATATTTCTGTATTCATGGGAGAAGTGACACCTTCATTTAGTCTGAATTTGGGCACACAGGATGTGATGGCGAGGCAGAGACACTATCCGAGTGTTTGTTTAGTGAGTTGGTTGTGGTTTTTCACCGTATTTGTAGTTGAAAATTCTGATAAAGTTTTCATTTCTGTTGGTAGCTTCATGTGACGACTTCAGCCGGTGAAGTTTTGTGTTTGTCACCTTTTGAGCTTTTGTTTGGTGTCACAGTGACGTTTAATTGTAAATTGTAAAAAAGTGAAAAATGGTGTCATTCTTTACCCAGGTAAAATAAACGGTTTTCTTAGTCTACTCTACGTCTTACACACGGTTTAACACAGTTCACCTTTATTGTTGTTGAACGTGCCTTTCCACTTTTTTTAAATCATTCTTTTAACTCGGGTAGCTATCAGCTAACAGATTGTGTGTGTGTGTGTGTGTGTGTGTGTGTGTGTGTGTGTGTGTGTGTGTGGTGAAATGAGAGCTCGTCTGGCTGCAGTGAAATTTAGCTTCAAGTCTGAAACAAATTGTATTTTGACGCAGATCTGGAGTTGACCTATTGAGTATGTGGGGTGAAGAGGATCCTCTGTTTGAGCCACTTCAAGCTTTTCCATGAATTCTTTGAAACAACCATGACCCTCAGCAGAGATCAGAAGCACTGATTTCATGTGCACTGTGCCCCTCAGACGGGTGCCGCCTCAACCAGCACGTAGCCCTGCTCTCCTGCTCCCCTTCTCCTCCCACTTGCCTTCATCCCTCAGAGCTGGAGGCAGGCAGGCAGGCAGGCAGGCAGGCAGGACAGCCCCTGCTTCAGCATGTCTGGGCAGTGCACTCTTCGCCATGGGCCCGCTGCCTGGAGAGACATGTTTTCCAACCTCTTCACCCAGCACTGATCCTTGTTCTTTCCATGGAAGACCCTCACCCCTCTCTCCATTTAGAAGACAGCTCATTTTCTTACTGCTCCAAATATAACAAACATGTTGGTGTTAAGCTCTCTTGTTCAAACGTTCTAATTTCTTAGGTATCATGGTTTAGACAAAGCTAGCCATTCATTTAAAATCATGATCAGCAGTGCCCATCCTCTCATTTTGTTAACTGTAACATCTTTGATTAAGTTATTTACCCATAAACTTTTGTCATGACATGTTTTTGTGAAGCTCTGGTTTTGAAGAGTGCTACATAAATAAAGATTTGCTTACCCCTCCACTCATTACCTTGACATTAAGAACACAATGAAGTTCCTCACTTACTGAAGGTGGTGCCAGAAACAACAGTATCACCATAGCTGAAGGATGTTGCTCACAAAGCACGTCAGTTAGAGAAAAGCTCTTTGAGTGGATTCTTGCGCGAGCTCTCAGCCTATACAAAAGGAAGTCAGCATATGAAAAAGCTGGACTCAGTCTGATTGGATCCATATGTGAAGGCTTTTACTGAGCGAATGACCCATAAACATTTCACTGGCTATGAAATCAGTTGATTTTTTTTTTTTTTTGTATTTCACAGAAATACAAGAAAGCAAAAACTCAGGAAAGTATAGCTTTATGGCTCTTTGCCTCATGTGCATAAAGGGAAATAGACAAGATGGTTGCTAAGCTAATAGATCCAGCATCTAAATGAAATCAGACGTTACTCAACATAAGAAGAGCAAAAAAACTAAAGCGGCTTTTCTTTTCCTCCAAACTGAAAGAAAATCTCCAGATTCTCGTCACTCTGGTGTTTTTATAGTTTTGCATAATCAGTGAAGTATGTTAAGTCTGTGTGACCCAGTCCCAGAGTATTTACTTTGTAAGGTCATTGGCTAACAAGAATGCTGGTAGACAGTCCAAGCTGTTGCTGGGTGAGTTGAGGTTTCATAGAGGAGAAACGTTGATGCAGCTCTCCCTCACCTCTGTGCAGCGATCCATCCGAACGCTCCCTTCATCTGTCTGGCCGGAGGTCTTCCTCTCAGTCGTCTCAATGCGCAGCCTGTCTGTCTACCATGGTTGTTGTGGATCAAATCACCAATAAAGACCATAAATTGCTGCAGGGTGTGTCGTACTTGCTGAACTTATCTTACAAAAATACACTAATCAAATGGTTTAGCTGAAGGTCAGATGACTTAGAGCCCAAGTTCCACAAACATAACATCACTGTTCAGATGAGACGCTCAAATTTCACATCACACACCGCGGCTGGTGACGCCACTTGGGGTTAAGAATGATTTTACCTTCACACGGCTAATTGCAGCATTAGCGTCTTTAGCTTGTCACTTTCAGGGCATTGCCAAGTCATTTGTTGTAAGACCAAAGAGTGATTAGTGTCACGTCAGCCTATAGCCTATTATAATTACACAGGAGACAGACACTGCAACCTGCTGAGAGCTGCAACTTAGCCTTGTGGTTGTTATCTTTGGGGCAAATGTTATATAAATCTGCTCTCATGATTAAAGCTTGACAAAGACATTCTTGTGAGGTGACTAATGTCTCCAATTATCCTTCAGGGTTGGCTTTGCTGTGGTCTTCAGTTTGTACACATTAAAGGTCCCATATCTTACACTTTTTGTGTTTTATTTTGAACTGTTGATCCATTAGAAGATATATTTGTTTTTTAACCAAAAACCATCTCAATGTAGTTTTACATCTCTTCTCTCAGGCTTCTCTCTGGAGCTCTAGTAACAACAGGTCGGTGAGCCAATCAGAAGAGAGGAGGCTCTGAGCCTCTCTTAATATTGGCTGACTATTTTCTGAGAGATCAAATAAAAATATAGCAGGTTTAACACCTGGAAACCAAATCCTGCAAGGTTGGATGTCGGGCGGAGCTTGGGGCATGTCTGAGAGCTGTTACTGCTTTGTTGTGACATCAGAAAGTTCCAGAAGTCCTGACGACTGGTTTTAAGGCTCAGTTTCTGAATACAGGCTGTGTGCATTTCTCTGTGGACTGAGGCTTTGATACTTTCACAGTATTAATATAGAACCTAGACCTGCTTTATAATCAAACAACACATGGGAATCTCCCCTTATACTACATGGGACCTTTAAGAAATCCTCCAAGTGTAACTATTGAATTTATGCACAGCTTTTCTCTGTGGTTTATTTAATGATATACTTTCTTAAATATGAACATATTTCCTTTTCCTCTGCAGAGACCTGAGGTTCAACAAAATCAAGGATATACAGCCGGGCTCCTTCAGACGATTAAAGAACCTCAACACACTGTAAGTCTTCGTCACCGCTCTGCATACACAATTGTGAACTTCTGTTGACATACGGTATATCCTTGGTATGAGATTGCTCCCCACATAACATTAGGGTAAAAGGTGATTGGAGAGTATCCACATCCTGTTAGTAAGAAATTTCAGTGCCTCAAGAAGACTCCTATTGAAAATTAATCAAGCCCATTTCCTTTAAACAGCACTCTGCAGAATGATTGTCACTTCCTCACAAAGTCCTGTTTGCATTACACACACACACACACACACGCGCACGCACGGGCAAATTCTTGCACTGTTCTGCTGTGGTTTCACACATGTAGGTCAGCTCGTAATCTGTGAGGAATTTATTTTTCCACTTCCACCCACAGGGCTATTTATCATATGTCCAGCCTGCTAGATGGTGCATTGCTAAGCTAATAAAGCAGAAATGTTCCAAGTATTGTATTTTTAATGGTCAGTACATTAGTTTAGCAGCCGTCTTGAAATGTTGGAGGAATGCGTGCGGCATCAGCTCATGTGGCCGCATCAGTATCTCGAGATGGTCACAGTTTAGACTGCTCAGCTGAGCTGCTAGAATGAATCAAACACACCTCACGTTATTCACATTCTTGCAAACATTACTGAGATGCTTTCTCCTCTTACAACAATGCCGAAAGTGAAGCTGATGTGTGAATTCAGTTATAAATCCATGATAGTTAATAAACATGAGAGTATGTGCAGGGCACGGACATGGTGGCTTAGATTTAGTTTCAAAGTGAAGAGAAGTCCTTTAAGGCGGGAGAAAAGCCCAGCTTTTCCTATCAGCCAGGCAGCCAGCCATTTGGACTGTTGAGGGCTTTATATCCTGAACAGCTCTTCGTGGTTTCAGGCTGCAGTTCCACAGACCGAACAGTCCTAAAGTCTATCAGTCTTTGTCCAATATCACTGTTCAACAGACAGAAGTATGTCTGTAATGTTAGATGAAGGGGAGAGCCTTCTGTCTTCTCTCAAGTTAACCTCTGTAGATTTCCTATCAGAAGCTTGTCACATTTTTTGGTTGAAAAAATTCCTACAATAATGTCTTGTTTTTGTTATGTTACCACACAGACAATAGGAGAAATGATTACAAACCATTACAAATGAAAGTGCAGATTTTCAATCGCCGCCCTCGTGATCTCATACAGCAGAACAAATCGAAATAGTGTGAAATCAAGTCGAAAAAAGAGGGCAACCGATACAAACAACTGCAAGTTACATTATACTACAACTTGTCTTGATATAGACATAGCATACGCCATTTAGAATTAGCCAAGACCAGACTTAAGCCCCTTTCCATCGGCCAAAAAACCTGGGAAGATTCGCTAACATCAGGCTTTTGTCGGCAACAGAAAAGGGTTCAATTGGCATTCACACCCAGGTCACATGACTCTGCAGTGGACACGGGTATTTCTCGGCTCCGGCTCCGATCGGAACACATGGGTGAACACGCACATTTTCATTCCTTTTCCTGCTGTAACGTCTTTCAGAGCACAGACACTGTAGACACACCTGTCACCTGCCCAGCACGGTGCTGTTACACCAGACACAGCGCAGCTACACAGAGTGAGCTGCAGCCCCGAAATATTTTTAAAAAATACGCATTCGCAGACTGAGGCGCCTTCACACAGAGGCTCCAACACTTTTACAGGAGCTCCAACCAGGTAATGAGACGTGACAGATCTGTTTCACCAGTTTGCACGGTGGCTAGCAGCTCACTCTTCCTCCACTCTGTGTGTGTGTGTGTGTGTGTGTGTGTGTGTATGTATGTATGTGTGTGTGTGTGTATGTATGTATGTGTGTGTGTGTGTCTCTCTTTAACTGCATGTGTGTCACTCCAGTTGTGTGTGTCTCAGTCTGAATAGAGAGACAAACTTGACTGGCAGTAGGAAAGGGATTTACCCGCATTAAATAAAAACCCAATTATACCCGCAAACAATGATTGAAAAAGGGTATGACTGTCATATTGGTTACTGTCGTGTATCTGCAAAATCACCTGTTTTCTTTCCTTCACAGCCTCCTCAACAACAATCATATACGAAGGATCCCCAGGGGGGCATTTGAAGACCTGGAAAACCTCAAATATCTGTGAGTTGACTCATGGCAATATCTTTTCTCTTTAGATCTTGAGATAATGTATTTTTGTTCTATGAGTCTCAATAGGGAAAAGGCCAGTGTTTAATCAGTCAGCAGAAAAAGAAGAAGCATGGTGAAACACGTCGAGACACTTTGTTGCAAAAATAAAACATGACTGTATAAGACTGCGAAAGTGGAGGACAGCTGATGCTGCTGGAAATATATCAGCGCAGTTTGCGGAAACGGCATCAATGAGAAGTCTCCCCTTTGTCTGATCCTCTGTACTTACATGTCTGGAAGTCCTGACCTGCAGGCACAGCTGAGAACAGAGGAGGGTTTGAGGTGTGTGTAGCCTCAGGGTTTCGCTTTGTTAGTCACTTACATTACCATCCCACCGGCCTCAGTTGTGGTGACAGCACTGTCTGTGCTCACAGTTAGTTATGGTCTGAGTTCCTCGCTTAGATGTTAGAAGACCTACTTACTAGGGCTGATTTTCACAGTCAGCACCTTTAACTAATGCAGACTCTTATACATTACTCTCCTTTAATATGTGTTCATCATCTGGGATGTGAAAACAGATTTCAAGTCAGTCAGAAAAAAAATTAAAGTTGACGTCTTGGTCATAGCTCAGTTATTAGTTCCTAGTAGTATTATTAGTTCCTGCCAGACTGCTGACAGCACTGTCAGCCGGACACCATATCAGAGCTGACCAGCTGCTGTCCAGCATCACGCTGCCCTCCATCGCGTCCCGGCCCTCCCCGTCTCTACTTCCATCACAGTTTTCATTTTAAGACAAGACCAGCTTTGTAAAGTTTACAGCGTGCCGTACTGTTGCTCCTCCATCTGCTCGTCTGCTTTTAGAGGACAGCTCCACTACGTACAATATTCTCACACTGGGACAGAACTTGAGGATATCTAATGGGATGTTTCGTACATCTTGAGACTATTGATGACATCACGCTTTATGTCGTCCCTGATTGGGCAGAGCTAGTGGTCTGCATAGGTCTGTCTGGCGGCTGATGAAGACAGACTGTATCAGCAGCATCACTGCTAAAGGCCCGTGTGTCTGACGTAGTGTGACACTCTGTTACATCACTGTCCAGCTTGTATTCTGGATAAGTGCTGCACACTTGATACAAGATCATATACTGTAAAGCACTCAACAAGAGAGAGGGAGGAAGGGGTGAAGAGGAGGGATGTTTTCTCTCTTTCTGTTGTCAACTTACTGAAAAACAAACACAAACATGCACATTCCAGGGACAACCCCTCCCCCTCTTTATGTTGTAATTAATCGCAGCTATTCAGTAGCTATAATTACAGACCCCCTCTCACTTTAAAGCAGAGTTGATCTAAAGCCTGCACCATTGCGCCAACCTTTGTGATTAAGGTAAGGTGCAGCCCACCCCCGCCCCCTCCCCCCTTCTCCCCTCCCTGCTGATTCAGTGCTCTATAGCTGCGGGCTAGATTGTATCTCCCTCCTCACCTCTTCACTTCCCTCGGACCCCGTTTAAAAAGTCCACTCCCTGTCTTCTTTCATGTTCCTCCCAAGCTAACGGCCGGGCGGCCGTCGACGCAGCGGCCCCTCTGTCCCACGGCCACCTCCATAAACAATCCAAACAGAGGTCAGCATGCCTCTTTGTGGGAACCCTGCACTGTTTGTTTTTTCCTTTTCCAATGATTCAGTTGGATTACACCCATCTGTAAATATCTGTCAGTGTATTTATGACAGGAACAGAGTCTTTGTTGGGGTCTGTACTTGCATCAGATTATATTAATGTAGGTTTCCGTTAATGCGTGTTGATGTAGATCATTTAAGTGATCGACGGAAGTCGGGAAAAAAATCCTCTGGGGTCTTAAACCAAAACCTAAACAAAACAAGTTTTTCACAAACTGAGTGATTTTTGTGATGTGTGCTTTCAACATGGCTGTTTATAAGTGCACACTGTCTCCTCTTGGATGAGTAATACCACTATCTAAGGATATGTGGTCAAGTGAGGCCTCTTGAGATTTGAGCCCACAACTTCCAAATCCTGTTTCCCATGTAAAACCTCACACGCTAAGCTTGTGCGCACACACACACACACAAACACACACACACACACACACACACACACGCCCACACCAGAGGCAGAGAGCTGCAGTCAGCAGTGTTTCACATTCATTCACAAAGTCATCAGGATCATGTGGGGGAGGTCTTGGGGTATTGTAATAACACTGGTTACTGCAGTGTCACTAAAGTAAACAGATTATACTTAATGATCCAAGTTTTCAGCATCATCATTATTTTTTACAGAACTGCTCTGCATGGGAATGTAATAATAACAACAGTTTTGGTTTGTCATCAGTCATTTTCCAGTAGAAGGGCCTCGGGTGTTAAAGCAGCAGCATATCTCTCTTAGCTCAATTTGTCTCTATCATTTACCATATTACATATGATGAAGTTGTTTATTTTTTGTATTGCTATGGTAACAATCCTGAGAGCGTTGACACAGATAGGTTGTAGCATATAGAATGGCATGCAGAGACAAAGAGATGTTTTACTTTTCCATACATTTTGTCACTCGTGCAGAGATCTGTATCTCCCCTCATGCCTCATCGTGATGGTGGGAGATGAAAAGGCAGACAGCTGTAAGCCTGGTTTCACATTTCTTCAACATGAATGATGGAGGGAAGACACGCTTGTCTTTCAGTGTGCTCAGACACCACGTTGATCCTATACAGGCTGCATAGGACATGAGTCTGTTTGAATGTGGAGGTCACCGAGAAAAGTGGAGACGTGGAGAAAAGATCTGACTCACAAAGAATTTATATTATATGTATTAATATTATATACATATATGTATAATAATGATATTATATTATTTATTGTTTGTCCAATGATAATGACTCATTTTTATTTAACACACACACCGTGGTAAAAACTATATTTTCTTCCTTTTTCCTGAGGTGTGCGAGTATCTAATCTTTTCTTTTATAATGTAAAGCTTTATAATCTGATAGTAGGACTGGTTAACTGCATTATGAGGGCTTTATAGTATTATATTTTTCTGATAAAAGTCTCAATGAGTTGTGTGAAAGTGTGTTGATTTTATTACTGTGTGATGTTTTGCGCAGTTTTACAATGACACAATGATCTGTGAAGTGCTCCCTCACACAGAGGAGTCTTTTTTGGGACCACAGTCCATGTCGAATTTCTATTTAGTCAAGCACATCTGTAGCTGGAGAGAGAACGCACTGTGAACATTTACTGTAGATGTGGCAATAACAGTTGTAATGTTACGGCCAGGGCTCAACATTGAGCTCAGTGCAATAAGTTTTAATTGTGCAGTGTGACTGATTCTCTCTAAACCTGTTCCAAATACTCACTAGCTTGTAGAGAGTTAGCCTCCTCCACTCGTCTCTATCTACAGTAAACATACTGCACAAGTAGCAGCACAACAGGCAGTATATCGTTTGAAAACGGCAGCTAAACAGTCAGTGTTATTTGATCAGATCCTCCCTTCTTTCTCTCATAATAACCAGGCAGTATTCAGATGATCCTGTGTGAGTGTGTGTGTGTTACTAATGTTACCGATTATCTCTCCTTCCAGCTATTTGTACAAGAATGAAATCCAATCAATTGACAGACAAGCATTTAAGGGGCTTGTCTCTCTTGAGCAACTGTAAGTGACCAACTTCCTCGTCCACCTTTTCCCTCTGCTCGCCCTGCTGCTCCTCCTCCTCCCACCTACTGTCTCTCTGTCTGTAAACCCCACCCCCCCCTACCCCTACCCCCTACTCATGAAGCCTGGTAAGGTCTGCATGGTTATTAGTGATTGATGAGCTATGATGTCACAGATGTTGACATCATCTTTTATGAATACTTGACCGTGAAGGCCTTACACAGGTATCATGATCGCTGTTCAGTTAGTTTTCCCTACAGTGACACTCTCTTCCTGAACCAACACACCCCCCCCACCCCCCCATGTGCGCCCCTCTGTCCACTTCTCTCCCGCCACCATGCATGCCGTGTGTGCATCCATACTTGTATGTCGCGCTGACCACCTTTGATCCTCCTCTGCATGAGTCGCATGTCTTGTGGTCAGGACAACGGACCATGCAAAGCTTCAAAAGCATGACGGCTAGCCCTCCTGTGCTGCTCGTAGCGCCGCCACTGTTGCGCTGGAGTCGCAGCCTCCGCTTTAGAGCCGAGCGTGACTTGCATATCTCAGCTGTTACTGCAGGAGCCGCTCCTCCGCTCCAGTTTGTTGTAATCAGTGTTTATTTGTGAGAAACCTTCAGTGTATTATGTGTGTGATAAAATTCAACCGCTTCCTGTAAGTCATGACACTCAGAAGCTTCTAGTTTTATGCTGCTTTTACAGCAGAGTATCTTGATACACTAGCATGTTTGACAGATTAGCACATTGCTTATTGATGATGTTATAAGTATGGATTGTATTTTCAGGATAGTCATCATCATGCACAAGTATGTGGATAAGCCAGTAGGTCATTATCACAACCAATAGGGCTGGTCTGCAGCTTCTCCTCAGCAACACAGTTGGAGGAGACTGTGACTTATACCTCACTCTAACCGTATTAACAGAGAACAAATGGCTAATTCATGGAGTAAAAGCTATTCCAACAGCAGGCTCCATGCCTGGCAGCTGTTTTGAATTTTGCTGCAATAATGAAGGGTTTCAACTGCGGGTGACAGGTTTTGAGTCAGATTGCACACACTTTAATTTTCTTCAACATACACCCTGGGCAACAGACGCCAAAGGCTGAAGTCACAGGCTTCTCTAGGAGGAATAAATAACTCCAAACACCTATATAACCCACAACCATGCAACTGTTGATTTTTTTTTTTTTTTTTTATCAGCAGGTCAGTGGGTTTGTCAGTGATCATAGGAGGATCACGCACAAATAGGAATAATCTAGTCTTAGGTTGTAACAGCGATACTGGATCTCACACAGTTCTGACAGTGTAATGAAATAACTGGTGTGGGATGTTCATTCATCCTAGAGGAGGGATTAAGTGGCCTCTAAAATGAGTTTACTGCTGGCTTCATTAAGCCTTTTTGTCTTTCACTTGTCTGGACTGTTATGTGTTTTTCTCCTCTGGCCACTCTTCAACACATACTTAAGGCAACACCCAAAGACATAATGTTGGACGTTGAGCACAGCTTGTAAAAACACAGTTGAGATACACTTAGAGATCAAACTAGAATGGTTTTTCTTGTGTGGAGGAATGTTGCATTTTATTTTACAATCTATGCTGCTTTAGTCTGTCTGTGTCTGTCTGTGTTGCTGCTGCAGCTAAGCTTTCCCTGCCGAAACAAGCAGATACCCAACTGAACCCTTACAGTTACCACACAGCTATCAGTTGGATTTCATTTCCCTTTAACCTTTTAATTTGTAAGCACATGGTCTGATCTAAGTTTTCTCAGCTCAAAGGCTTTTGGGATTTTGTGTTTGCACTCCATGAAATAATGGTTGTACTTGCTTGTCACCTGTGGGCAGTGTCATTTCCAACCCAAGCCTTCAGCTGTAGATTTATATCTTATATCTGTCTAAGATGAATGCCTGATGTGCAAACTCCTCCTCCTCCTCCTCTGTTTGCATTCATCTAGAGCTTCATATCAGCTTTTCTGAATGTTGTATTTGAGTAATCTGAAGTGCCAGGGATGGACAGGTGACACTTCAGTGGTCTCACTGACCCCCCCTCTTAAGGCCAGCTAGGACAGTGACATTATATTTAGTCAGACAGGGAGCCCTAATCCAGTTTTACTGTGCTTTCTCTACACTTTGTTCCTCTCCAGGTACCTGCATTTCAACAACATCGAGTCTTTGGAACCGGAATCTTTCACCCACCTACCAAAGCTGGAACGACTGTAAGTTCATTTTCTGTTAAAGGTCAACTCCATGGCAGGTAAATCAGTTTAATTAATGATTAAATCAAGCGCAATCTAGATTTGATGTTCAACGATTGAGTTGCTATTTTTGTTTAGTAATTTCATTGAGTGAAAACAGACATATTATTGAATTTCTGCAGTCAGGCTGCATACTTAAACATTTACAGGTCACCTAAATGCATTTAAACGTTTTGGAAGACTGAGCTGAACTGTTGTCTCTCATTTGCATTGAATTTGACTGTTGGTGATTTATTCACGTTGACAACCTCAGGGCAGCAGTATCAAAGAACTGTGTTGCATTCTGGGTAACTATGGACTGACTCAGCATGTGACAGAGCCACACACTGGAGGACTTGATCATAAAATAAGATAAGATAAGGTATTCCTTTATTAGTCCCGCAGTGGGGAAATTTCCAGCATCACAGCAGCAAAGTGGACAGTACAAAGAAAGAAAAACAGATTGCCAAATGACATGAACCAAAATACTTAGAGATAAATAATATGATATAATAAAATTAATTAGAATATAACATGTACAATTAAATACAAAATACAAAAAGTAGCAGCAGGTGACTCGTATTGCACACGGTGGATTGTCAGTCTTTGGCGTGTGAGGTCACTGATAGCAGTGTTTGTTGTAAAGTCTGACAGCAGCAGGAAGGAAAGACCTGCGGTATCTCTCCTTCACACGCCGTGGGTGCAGCAGCCTGTTACTGAAGGAGCTGCTCAATGCTGTCAGAGTGTCCTGCATGGGGTGGGAGATGTTGTCCAGCAGGGATGAAAGCTTAGCCCTCATCCTCCTGTCGCCCACTACCTCCACTGGGTCCAGGGGGCGTCCCAGAACAGAGCTGGCCTTCTTAATCAGTCTGTTGAGCCTTTTCCTGTCAGCAGTGGAGATGCTGCTGCCCCAGCAGACCGCACCATACAAGATGGCTGATGCCACCACAAAGTCATAGAAGGTCCTCAGGAGCCCCCCCCCCCCCTGCATTTCAAAAGACCTGAGTCTGCAGCAGATACTCTCTGAGGGTCTTAACATCTCTGAGGTCGTCATGACTGACTTCAGTTCTAAACTTATATTGATTGATGAATGCATTTTATTGATGCCACTGCCCCCACTAAAGGAAAGATAGTCTCTGGTTAGAAAAGAGCATCATGGAGAAATGCCCCGCTGGTACAAACTTAAAAAGCGACTGTTGGTGAAAAACAAATCTAGGTTTATTATGACATCTTTAAAAAGAGACACTGCATTTATAATTTAGAACTGAGAAATGTAAGGCAGTCTCTTCTTTTCTAACATCATTGCCAAAAACATCACTAAAGAACATGTCTTATTTACTGCTGTTGGACCTCTAGTATTTGTTTTGATGAAGTATCCTGTGAAAAATAAGGTGGGCTTAATTTAGCTGTTATTTCAATGTGTCAGATCCATATTTAACACATCAGCATTTAGGTAAAAATAAAGATCAGATTGGACTAAGCAGATTATAAATATTAAAGGACAAAAAAGGTTAGTCGTAATTTACCTCCACTACTCCTACGTTTGTCCAGTGAAATCTGTAAAAGGTTATCTTTATGTGAGGACTTCATATTTTACTTAGTAGTGACATTATTATTGTTGTCCATGACCACAATAATAAAACCAGATCTATAAAATTGTTTCCATGAGGCCATAATGTTTCACAGTTAACATGTCTTCATCCTTTGTCAATAAACGATCCATCACATATGTAAGTGAGATGACTTAAAGCTGTGGTTCTCCTGCACGCAGATTACCATGACGTTTCATATGTAGGCTGGTAGTCCCTCACACTGCCTGCGAGAGCTCTGCATATGAACCCTCCTGTCAACATGCACATGTGATGTAGTCGATGCTGCTAAAACTCTCCACCAGATGTCAGAGGGTCCTGTTAAATTCCCCTTTCATTGTCCCTGTTTATGGGCGAGTGGCTGCCCAGTATATCCATACTTCCCAGTCTCTAGAGAGGCTGAGGAGGTGGAGGGACACCTGCAAAAAAAAAAAAAAAAAAAAAAAGGTGGAACGGGGAGTGAAGGAATTCCCAGGTGCACAACTGAGTGGCTTGTTGTGGGAATATCTCCATGGTCACGGTCAAAGCAGTTTCTCTGGCGACGTGTCCAGAGAGCATATCTGTAGATCAGCTTCCTACAGGTTGGGATAGAAGATCAGCAACTGGATCAAAGATTATCTTGATTTATAGTTATCTAAAAATGAACAGATTCAGGGGAATGTTTTGGGTGGAGCGTTACATAAAAAAAAAAAAATAAAAAAAAAAGAACATTTTTGATGTTTGCTTTTAGCCAAGAAATAAAAGTTTCAGGGGTCATCAAGTTGAGCTGCCATAGCATGTCTGGGAAGATGATCATATTTCTTGTCCAATTTGGAAAATGGAATATGATATTAACAAAGGGAACACACTCAATATTTGTATATATAAGATATCAACTGTTATTTTGGGAAATTAATTTTGAAAATGTTATTTTTGAAAACAATTTATTCATTCAAATTATACAAATTTCTCTCGTTTGAGTCGCCATTTATAGACTCCAGATCTGCTGCATAGTTGTAGCTAGCCGTATAGATGTGGGCACTGATGAATCATCTTGGGGTTTTTCTCTCTTTTCCTCAGGTTTTTGCACAACAACAGAATCACCCAACTCGTCCCAGGAACCTTCTCTCATCTTCAGGCCATGAAGCGATTGTAAGTGGAAAAGCTGTCTAGCAACCGCTGGAACAGCTGTGTGAGAATGCATGTCTGCATCAATTTCTGTAGGTCCCCCCCCCCCCCCCCCCCCCCCCCATGACACCCTGTCTCAAGTGGGGGCTTGTGTGTCAGTTAAATGCCATGGAACCACACTACACTGTTCTCACGCTTCTTTGGCTGGAAGACGGTTTCTAACACAGGCTCACAGTCCTTCCCATGGTTCTCTCTTGTTGAGTCAGCTGCAGTGGAGATTGGAAGGGACTGTGCAGGGTGGGGAAAAGCAAAGAAAATTCTATTATCTGTCATGCACAAAAGATGCTTGATTTTCCCCCCATATATGAGAATTTGAGGTCTCTGAGGCTGTTTAGGTCTAACACAGCTCCTTCCTCCAGCCAACAGATAGTGAAGAACAATCAGTGGTTTGGCTTCTTCCCATTGTTTTTCTCCCCTCTTGTCTCAGTCATTCATGAGCTTTTAGTATTTGTTAGATCCCAGGCCAGTGTGCTTAAAAAGACAGAAACCTGCAGAGACTAAGACTGACTTCACTCTGATTATTGGAGGATATGTAAATAAATAAATGATCCATTAGGCCTTGAAAGGCTGCATCTGTTCATAACACACTTTCTTCTAAAGCAGTTTATCAAAGAGAGCTTCAGAAAGATAGCCTCACCAGTGTAAATCATTGCCAGTTCAATTTTCTGAACGGCATGTCATGGATAATGGACACATTGTGGTAGAAGTGAAAGCTGGATCAGTTACCAGAAGACGAGGCCAGGCCGAGAGATAGTTTCCCACGGCAGGAGGATAGTGTCTTCCAGTCTGGTCCTGCTGAGCCCCCACTGTTTGGACTGAGCTGGGCCGCGCCAGGCCATGCCAGACCAATTTTAGCTCATAAACTGCCAGAGAGGATTTGCCTAACACTGCTGCACACACACACACACACACACACACACAGACACACACACACTAACTCTCAACCCTGCAGTAACATGTCATATACTGTATGCTTTATGTATGGACTACGTGGCCATGTCTCATTGATCTGTGTATATGCGTCTGTACATGTTGTGTTCAGGCGACTGGATTCCAATGCATTAAACTGTGACTGTGAGCTGCTGTGGCTGGCCGACCTGCTGAAGCAGTACGCTGAGTCGGGTAATGCCCAGGCAGCTGCCACCTGCGACTACCCCAGCCGCCTGCAGGGCAGATCGGTGGCAACGCTCACGGCTGAGGAGCTCAACTGTGGTACGGAGAAAAAAAAGAGTGTGATGTTTTCTGATATCATGGGATGTTTGTTGGCACATGCAGAACAGGGACATGTATGTAGATTAATGTGCAGAGGGGTTTTCATAAATGGACCAGTTTAATTTATACTGTGAAATGTATTTTAAGACTCTGGGGCCGGTTTCACTAAGATATCTCAGACTGGTCTGTTGTGTTGATCCAGTTTTCATGTTGCTCATAGATTAGTCTAATGCAAGTCAGACCGTTTCACAAAAATAAAGACTGACTCATTTTAGTAAAAAAAAAAATTAGACACCCTACCCCCAGGCTGACTCAAACCAAGACCAATGTTACCATGGTAACAATCAATGACACCCGCGCTGACCAGAAGCTCCCAACAACAAGACACAGGAAAACATGGCTCATAATATGTGGTTTGCTAACATTGTTGTGGAGAGAGCGATGAGAAGAGAAGTTATTTTTTTTCCAAATCAGATGTTTCTTTTTATTGCTTCACTCTAAACTGACGTTCCCAAGTAAAATGTTATTGTTACTGTTGAATTCTGAATTTTCCGCAAGTCTTAATTTACCCAGAATTCATTGTACCACAGTCCAGCTTCAGATAGTCAAGAACTGAACTGCTTTGTGCAGCAGATGAACTCAGACGTCTATCTGAAGTCTGACTGATGGTTCTATCTGAGCCACAGTCAAAGTCTGTCTTTGTGAAACTGGCCCCTGATTGTTTTCAGCTGTTGCATTATTTTGCCATCTGTAGTGGAAATTAGCCTGATTATCTCTGTGGAACTTGAATGTGTTGCAACATTAACAGCATCAACCAGGGAGGACCACCCGATTGAAACCTTATTGAGTTTTACATTGAGAAAAAAAAAACACATATCTGGCAAGCACACGTGAAGCCATACACACATGGCTGCATAGCATCATGCATGTGTTTTCCATGTGCCTATTCTTACGCACACTCTCCCAACTTAAAGCAAAACTCAGTCTATAAACCAGGTAAGCTTAGTCAGCCGCGTCTGGTGTATATATACACACACACACACACACACACACACACTCACACACACACACACACACACACACACACACACACACACACACACACACACACACACACACACACACACACACACACACACACACACACACACACACACACACAGAGGTGTATCCTTCTTTTGTGTCTGAGGTCTGAAGGCACCAGCTGTTTCAGTCTTCACACATCACCAGCTGTGTCTCTGGTCTGGGTAAAATATGAGTCAGGAGCCCCTGAATTTGGCCTCCGGTCTCTCTAGGATCAGACCACCAGCAGCTGCTCCGTCCATCTATGAGATGAGGATGCTGCGTATGTGTGTTTGTGCGTGCGTGCGTGCGTGCATGCGTGCGTGCGTGTGCATTCATGCGTGGAACAGTGGCATGGAGGGGCCCACTGGTATTGAAACTTTCTTCTGATGGCTGCGATACATGAATATGTGATGTAACTTTTGCTCTTACATCATGATTAATTAATGTCATTACATATTTTAGAATTGGAAAATTTAAGTTATAAGAAGAAGAGGATGGTGTGGTGAAGAGATTGAAGGATAATTTAGTTGTCTTAGGAAAAATAGCTGTGGCCAGTAGAAGTGGTTTGAGATGTTTCAGTGAAGCAGATACTTTTCTTCTGCCATGAAAACTAGTCGCAGCTAAAATCCACTCTGACCAACATTCATTTAAGTTGACCACAGCTTCTGTACGTATGAAGAAGGCAACTACAAACATTTTATTTGCATTGATTGTTTTATATTCAGTGCACTGAATTTGATACTTGATACTTTGATACCTTTCAACACTGCAAGTAGAGAAGAAAGTGCACACATTTCAGTGTGCGTCTGCTTGGTGCATGTCCAGTTGGTTTCTATAACAGGCGGTTAGTTTCTATAGCAGTAAATCCAACCGTCTTAACTCTGCGTTTCATTCAGCTTTCACTGAATGCTGCAGTCTGAGGCCAGACAGGCAGGCTAGTTGGCAGCTGACTGTAACTCAACCACATTTAAATCTCTGCAGCTAATTTGATGGCCCCAACGTGCCCATTCTTGCTCAACGCAAACCCCCCCCCCCCCCCCCACACACACACACACACACACACACACACACACACACACACACACCTCTCCACTCCATGTGTCTGCATAGCGAGGCAGCGGCAGGGGAAGAATGTCTGCTTAGAAACATGGTGGACACCACGCCCACCTCCCTCCTTCCTTATTCTCTCCCCCTGTAAGCGGGGCGGAACAATGCACAGCGGGTGGAGCAGCTGTCAAAACAGCCCCCCTCCTTGAGATGAAGTGCCACCTCCCTGCACAAGTGGTGTCTGATGAGCCTCCACATCGGGCCTTGATGGGTTACCACAAAACAGGATTTCCAAGCCACTGCAATTACCCAGCCCCAGTGTTAATGTGGAGTAATTTGGTGGTAAGGGGAGACACGGGCTGATGTTCTTAGTCTGAATTTCTGCAGCTTGTTAAGGGGTGAGATTTGGTTTACCTGCTGGTGGACACAGATTTATCCCCATCCCCATGGATTCTTCTTTATGTTAGAAATGTTGATGAAAGAATGCTTCTAAAATGTGGCAGGTGAGACTAGAAGATTGATGCAGGTACATACGTATGAATGGATATGCATTTACACCTATCATCCAATCTGACCTCCTCCTCCAGAGGTACCCAGGATCACCTCAGAGCCCCAGGATGTGGACGTTACATCAGGGAACACTGTCTACTTCACCTGCAGGGCCGAAGGCAACCCCAAACCACAGATCATCTGGCTCAGGAACAAGTAAGACACTAAATGTTATGCACCAATGTTACGCACAGTATGTAACTTCTGCAGCTAGGGGTCTCTCAATCAAAACAATAACAAAAGACGGCTTTGGATGACGTCAAGAAGTACTGTGGGATCGTGGGAGTTGTCTTCACCACCATTGCCGTAAGCTTCACCTGGTTTGGATTCCTTCAGTATCAGTGGTTCAGGAGGTTTTTACTGGAAGCCAAATTTTACACAGAGGTGTCCTCCTCTCAAAATCAAACAGACTCTGTGATTATAACGGTTAAAAACACTGAAGGAAGCTGTTTCACATTAATAGTCAGTGTCTGAGCGACGCTGTAAGGAGGACAGAGACTCAGGGAAGAGTTGGAGCTGAGATTGATGCTAACCTTTGTTCTGATTGTTTCTCTGATAACTTATGAAGCAGACGTTCAGCAGGTTTTTACCAGCAGCTGAATTATCCACAGAGGTGTCCTCCTCTCCATAACAAACACACTAGGAGATTAAAACCAGTAGAAACACTGAATAAAGCAGCTTCACTTTAAAATGCAGAGATTCAGCAACACCCTTCAGTGAGACACGGACAGGACGTCTCCAGCAGCTGGGAGCTGAGCTGTCTAACATTTCCTCAGCTTGTTTCTCTAATAACTTCAGATCCAGACGTCCGACGACTAAAATCCTTCATCTGGTTCAAATATAGAGCTGAAAACCACCAAGGTGTAAAAATTGTATCTTAAAAATGTGGCTTAAAACTGGATAAAAAGTCAATTTTGAGCTTTTGGCAGGCAACCACAACACTGACACATGGGCATAAGGGATATGACGTCAGTGACAGGCTTTGAGCTAGTTCCAGTTTTAAAGCTGATATAATGCATGTGATCAGGCCCCATAAATTGAGTCACTGAGTTGTGCCATTGCCATTCGCATTTAAAAAAAAAAAAAAAAGGTAAGGATTAAGCCAATAATTACACAGCCATCACTGAGAGTGTTATTATGATTATATGGAATTAGAAAAGCACAGTATGGGAATATATTGTATATATGTATTGGTTTATGTTTAATCAGTTGTGTGTATCTCCGTGCACTCCTGGCAGCAACGCTCTGAACATGCGTGACGACAGTCGTCTGAACCTGCTGGAAGACGGGACGCTGATGATCCAGGACACCAGGGAGACAGACCAGGGAGTCTACCAGTGCATGGCCAAAAATGTGGCTGGGGAGGTCAAGACTTCACAGGTCACACTGCGGTATTTCGGAGCCCCCTGTAAGTGGCTGCTTTTAACCTCAACCTCTGCTTATCTCAGGCAACCTCTTAATTACTGAAGAGTAGTAGTCTCAGTCATAGCACTGTCCAGGAAAGTAATCTACATCACAGATTAAAGGTCCCATATTTTACACTTCTCCTGTGTTTTATTTGAAGTGTTGATCCATAAGAAGATATATTTGTAGTTTTAAGAACCAAAAACCTTCTCAGTGTAGTTTTACATCTCCTCTCTCAGGCTTCTCTCTGGAACTCTAGCAACAACAGGTCGGTGAGCCAATCAGAAGAAAGGAGACTCTGAGCCTCTCTTCTGATTGGCTGACTGTTTTCTGAGTGACCAAATATAAATAAAGCAGATTTCAGGTAAACACTTCAGAGCACAGGCTGTATGCATTTCTCTGTGGACTGAGGCTTTGATACTTTCACAGTATTAATATAGAACCTAGACCTGATCTATAATCAAACAACACATGGACATCTACCTTTATACTATATGGGACCGTTAAAGCTTCAGCCAGGTGTGCTATGACAGGCTCCTGCTGATAATGTTCATGTTTAGCAGGAAGTGGAAAAATTAAACGGCATTAATGTACATTAATGTAGTCTTTAACTTGATGTATTTCCACATTTGTTGGAATTGGAGAAGAAGTGACGTGAGGAGTTGGATTAAGGTTTTGTGAGTGAGATATCCTAGTTTAACTATAGTGTCATTGGGGGTGTTACGGTACAATTTGAATAGCAGGGGATTACCATCAGTATGAGATGATGTAGGGAGTCTGTGCTCTGAGTAGCACTGAGGTTACCTGCAGAGTTCAGCAGGTCAAATAACTGGGATGTCCCACTGAGCTGTGAGCAAAGCCTGCCGGCTTTCATGTCAATGTTTCCCTCCACACACTCACACAGACACACACAAGTACATTCTGTCCTCTCTGTCTCTGTTGCTCTGTCTCTCTATCTTCTGCCTGACACATATACACACTCACACATCAATCAGTCATAGTGCCAGTAGTTGTCGCCGTGGGAGATTAGCAGGGCCGTCTCCAGATGACCCAAGGGTCATCGCTGGGGTGACGGATGACCCCGGTGACAACCCCTCGTTAAGGAACAGTTTCTGAGAGCAGATGTTGTGCGTTTCCTGTTTCTGTGTGATTGTAAACGCCAGGCCCCTCGCTGTGTACATATTTCCTCTGACTCCACTGTAACCACTGGCCAAATATGAACAGGACGCGACCACATTCTGTTACACATGAAGGAAGTTACAGTCAAAGTCAAAGTGGCGTTATTGATGATCATTGTGCATGAACAGACCTTTCAAATGTTTTTCAACAGCTTTCTCTGTCATCATTTATTCAGGTCGTCACTGGTTACCTAATACCCTGAAATTTCTCAAAGCAGACAAATGAAAAATGTTATTACCTCTCATCTAATTAACCTAACCCCATTCCCACGTTCTACCCCCAATCCCCCCCCCCCCCCTCCCCCCTCCGCTCCCCTGCTCCTCCAGCACGGCCAAGTTTCGTGATCCAACCCCAGAACACTGAGGTACTGGTGGGAGAGAGTGTCACCCTGGAGTGCAGTGCCACGGGCCAGCCACAGCCCCGGGTCTCCTGGACAAAGGGCGACCGGACCCCGCTGCCCAACGACGCTCGCATCAACATCACCCCCTCTGGAGGGCTGTTTATCCAGAACGTGGTCCAGGCCGATGGGGGACAATACACCTGTTTTGCCTCCAATAACGTTGACACCATACATGCCACAGCTTATATCATTGTACAAGGTAGGAATCGGAATCCATTTTGCCATTGGATTTATTAAAAGATAATGCTCTTCTAGGGGGATTTTCTCAGCATGTAAATGTTTTAACATTCTCACTGTGGTTTAAATATTGTTTGTAAAAAGCTTCCCGCATCTTGTGTTTCTACAGCATCATCTTTTTACTGTCCTTCCAGAGTTTCAGCTTGTTTAAAACTTTGGCATGGGACTCAATAAGAAGCTATTAATTAGCTATTTATTAATATAACAGTGCTTTTCAACCGATATCTACTCACACTAGATAAATGTAGTGATTGTTTATCGCTATCCTCCCCAGATAGAAAAATGGCCCAACATATCCTGGGTCCTCGGCCCAAGTCCGGCCCATATACTTCTACATCTCAGCAGATATCAGCTGTTATCCTCCAGAAGATTTTCTGTGTGTAAACCACAATTGGTCCAGATGTGGAAGTAGGATCTGACAATTGTGCTGTATGTGGGCCAGATTCAGGCATATGCTGGGCCATAAGAAAACAAGCACGTGGCCCAAGTATGGGCTGAATTTATTTTGCTATCTGGGCCGTTATTGTCATCAGACATCACAGGAACTCATGTTATATACAAAGTGAATTCAGTCAACAACAACAACAACAAGAATGTGAATCAGGTGGCAGCGTCTCCCCTCAGCGTAAGGACAGCTCTCGCATGAAGCCGAACCCCTCCACACTGATGTGATTTTCTACTTGTAACTCTTAAAATACCTTGTTCTAGAGCTTGTGTGAATCTTTTAGTGTGTCTCTCGCTGATATTTACAAACAAGATTTTTATATTGCTCATGCTATCAGTTAAGCTGATGTTTACTCATCCTGCCACTTAATTTGTTAAGGATTCTATACAACCTTTTTTTTTCCCCTTCTGCCCGCAGCAATCCCACAGTTCACAGTCACACCGCAGGACCAGTCAGTCCTGGAGGGTCACACGGTGGACTTCCCTTGCGAGGCGAGCGGTTACCCACAACCAGTGATCGCCTGGACAAGGGGGGGCAGCCCGTTACCCCTGGACCGCCGTCACGCGGTCCTGTCTTCTGGTGCTCTCCGCATCACTCGGGTGGCAGCCCATGACGAGGGCCAGTACGAGTGCCAGGCCGTCAGCCCTGTGGGGACTGTGCACACGGCTGTTCAGCTCAGCATCCAGCAGAGAGGTGAGGGAGTAGATGATGCTGTTCATTGTAAACTGCCTTCATTAGATTAATTAGAAAATAGATTCATTGACGAAAGATGACTGAATCTTCCTAACAGCCAGGCTGCTATGGTGAACATGGAAATGTAGGTTCTATAACACAGGCAACTTAAACATACTGCTGGAACCTGCCATACACAGGCTGCTATTGTGTCTGCCTCTTCAAACACTGTGTGTTTGTGCAGGAGGAGGAGGAGGAGGAGGAGGAGGAGGAGGGGTGTGCTAGGTGGTAAAATGTTAAGAGGAGGGGAGTGGTGCAGTCCCCGTCATTCACAGCTAATTTGTCGCTTACACATGCGAGTCAGCTATTACTGTTAAAATGCATGTAAACACTGAAAGACATGTAGCTCTGTGTGTGTGTGTGTGTGTGTGTGTGTGTGTGTGTGTGTGTGTGTGTGTGTGGGCAAGTTCTGCATCTGTATGTGTGTGTATGCAGTGTAAATATACTATACTGTACTGTGTAATTCATTTGGTGTGTGCATGTGTTTGCATGTTCAGAAGAAGGCATACAGAAGTCACACTGTGTTTTTTGTGTGTGTGTGTGTGTGTGTGTGCGTGTGTGTGTGCGTGTGTGTGTGTGAGTGTGTGTTTGTTTGTGTGTATCTTAAATTACAGGCTTGGTTTAGCACAGGAAAGCATGGCAGTCTGTAATCCCAAGATGACACCATGTTTTTCCATGTAGTAATGGCTGTTAACATGGCTCAAAGTACATGTTGCATAATGGCCCCACACTGTTAAAGTCCTGCTCAAGCCTACAACCGTGCTGGCAGAGTGTGATGGTTGCCATATGCTAAGAGCACTGTGCGCAGTGATAGACAGAGCACTGAAGAAAGTGAAAGCAGAGATGAACAGGATGTCTTCATTATTGTGTATATATGTTGAGCATGACACCACATTTCAGTGTGACTGTAATGTTATTTACTATTTTGATGTTACTGTGTTTTATTCTTGAATCCTCTGGAAACACGTTGTCTGCAGCTGTGATGCTGGTGTACTGTACACCGCAGTCAGCCCTGTGTTTTACAAAGTTCAGCTTTGATTTAAAGGCAGTTAATTGGTGTCAGACGACTATGAAACTGCCTCCCACTCAACTTTGTGTTCTCAAACTCGTGGGGTTTTCCCATGGCCAGGTGGCTCATTGCTGGCTGCTGCATGGGAACCATGCAGTAATTTGAACATGGTGTGTGTGGGGGCAAACATCCACCCGCTCCCGCCAAACACCTCAGCTGCAGAGTGGTTCTATCACGAAGCTTAGACAAAACGGTGGAACACAGGGACACTGTTTGTGCGTGTGTGTGTGTGTGTGTGTGTGTGTGTGTGTGGGAGGACAAGACACATGTACATATGCTTGTGTGACTATTTACTTAAGGTCCCACGTGTGTGTATGTGTGTGTGCCTGTGTGTGATTAGTACAACTCAGCTATGCAGACACACGTGCGTCTCTTGTGCACATGTGCAACTCTTTATGGTCAGGCTTTATCTAAACTCCTCCAACCAAGAAGAACCAGGATAACCAGCTTTTTATAACTGTGGACACATTAACAGCCCAGTATGACTCATTATTGTTGTCTTATCTGTTTTTGTTATGTGGCTTTATTTAAATAGATATGTTTGTATCAGTGATTCCATCAGGTAGTTACTATAATAATGAAACTGTTTAGGTGATCATATCAGACAGTACATTATTTTACATTATTTCACCAATAATTCTAATGTATCTCACCTTGTATATGGTCATATAGTTCAGTAATGTTTGATACGCTACTTTTGCTAAAAAGAAAGTTGGAAAAGAGCCGATGATGAGCCCTGGTGTTGACACTGCGCTGAGTCCTGCTCTCTTTTGGTGCTGCACCTGTGGACAGCAGATACTGTAAGACTCACCAACATTCATGCGTAGATCAATGCAGACTGATTCACTGACTTTCCTGTTTTGACCACATTATGTCAAACTACAGTAACTACTTGCTTCAGACGTGCTGCGCCAGCAGATTACTTCATTTAAACACTTAATGTGAAAGCCGGAAACTCAGAGGCGCGTTGGCTCTCACCTCAGGTCGGGGGTTGTGGGTATTAAAAAATTCCTACCTGTGCACCACCAATGTGACGGCAGCAGGACTGATGTGCTATTAAATTTGCAAATGTCATGTTACGCACAGCCTTTCACTGTGTTTACCTTCATTAAATCCCCTGAAAACGTCACCAGGCTGTGATATATCCACACAGACCTCTACACACATAAGTTCAGTCAGTTCTAACTTCATATCCTGCTATTTTTTGAAGGAGACCACAGCTCATCATTGCTTCTTTTCCATCTTTCTTTTTAGCAAAGGTAGCGTCTCATGCCTCACCCAATCATTGTTATAGTAACAGCCCGATGGATAATTAGACATATATACATACTTAAAAACAAAATTAAATAAAAATAGAAATAAACAAACAGCTCAAACAGATAGAACAACAAGTGAGTTAAGAGTCACAGTTGCAGGATGAGCACCCAGATCTACGTACACACGCTGTAGCTGCAGCTCAAAGCAGATAATCAGGAGGTAGAGCGGGTCGTCCACTATTCAGAAGGTTGGTGGTTCGCTCCCCGGCTCCTCCAGTCCACATGTCGAAGTGTCCGTGGGCAATGTACCACTCATATACCAGTGTACCATCGATGTACCATCAGTGTATGAGTGTGTGTGTGTATAATAGCTGTCTATATAACAAGCGCTGTATGAATGTGAATGGGTGAATGAGACTAGTAGTGTAAAGCGCTTTGAGTGGTCATTAAGACTAGAAAAGCGCAGTCCATTTACCATTTACACATGCCTGTGTGTTAGGAGTCACACGTGCACGCACAAGTGCATCTGCATGGCTGCAGTTGTAGTAATCACACACACTGTTGGACTAAATAATCACACGAGCGTCTGTACGCGTACGTGTGTGCGTGCGTGCGTGTGTGCGTGCGTGCGTGCGCGCGCAGTCAGTGATGGTTGACCTACTCAATCTCTGTAAACAAATGGAAAACAGCTGTTTTCACTGTGTAACATCTGTGAGTAGAAGTTAATAAAACAGAAAATGACGGACACAACATACTGAGGGAAAAAGTGAAAATCATTGTATGAATATTGACAGGAATTTGCTCCACAATGAGTTTTTCTACCAAATGAAGCACGGCATTATTTCCTTTGAAAATACAGCATGCCTTCATCTCCCACGACCTCCATGCTGTTTGATGTTTTGCAGTACTGTAATCGAGGAAAGAAAAATAGCAAGTGCAGTGTAGCACAAACACTGGGAGTGTGTGTCTGTACTTTTGAGTATGTGCAGGACAGTAAAAAGGCTAAGATAAGTCTCAAGAGTTTCATATATGCTGTGATTGATTGCACAATTAATTTTACATGTACACTACTTGGAACACTGGTGCATAATCATTAACACATGCGCGTGTGTGTGTGTATGTTTTAACTCATTCAGTAACGCCTGTTTTCACAAATGCTCCAAGGGACCTGACGGTTGAGTCTGGCCAGGATGTCCAGATTCCCTGCAGCGCTCAGGGCCAGCCACAGCCTGTCCTCACCTGGAACAAGGTTAGATGCTCGAGCTCCTGTTGTGAGGTGGAGTGAGGTGCCCGTCACCTCTTCACCACAGAGGTCAGGGGGTTAGAAAAGAGAACAGTGAAGACGAAAGGGACTGGGGCCAGGAAATGTGTGTGGTTACACAAATTGTCATTTTTAAAGCAAATAATGACGTAACTGAGTGATTAAAATGTTGGAAGCTTATTCAGGTTGGTCTGATATAACTTCATCAAACCTAATTTGATCCCCACCTTCACATGCTAGTTCTCCGGGGTCATGACCTTTTCCCTTTGTCTCTCCCCCCTTCCGTCTCCCTCCCAGGATGGTGTGCAAGTGACAGAAAGTGGCAAGTTTCACATCAGCCCTGAGGGTTACCTGGAGGTGAAGGACGTGGGCACTGCTGACGCTGGACGCTACGAGTGTGTCGCTCGCAATCCCATCGGCTACCAGGTGGCTAGCATGGTGCTCACCGTCACAGGTAAGATGTCAGCACCTCATAACCTCACACTTTGTGCCATTCTGGCTGAGAGGCGGGGCGAGTTAGTGCACCACATTAGCAAGAAAGGTTTAAACGTGTTGCTTATCAATGCTGTAGCAAATATGGTAATAAAATCTTTGGCGATCTACCATGTTTTGTCATTTGTACATCTGCTGTAAAACGAAAAAAACTTTCTGATAATTTCATAGATTAAAGGTCCCATATTTTACACTTCTGTGTTTTATTTGAAGTGTTGATTCATGGGAAGATATATTTGTGGTTTGAAGAACCAAAAACCATCTCAGTGTAGTTCTGCATCTCCTCTCTCAGGCTTCTCGCTGGAGCTCTAGTAACAACAGGTCAGTGAGCTAATCAATACAGCAGATTTCAGTTTCAACACTCAGAGAAACCAAATCCTGCAAGGCTGGATGGTGGGTCCAGGCTTGAGGGCATGGCTGAGAGCGGTGACTGCTTTGTTGTGACATCACAAAGTTACAGAAGGAAAAGAGATGTAATATTTAGTATGTTCAGTGTATATCACTGTCACATTAGATCAAAGTCCCCTGCTGATCTTCCTTTCCAAGTCAGTCAGTAATTTAGTCACACTCTGCTGCAATGCTATTAGATTCCTATCAGCTCCTCCCTGTGTGAGTTGGTGTTTCCTGCTGAGATTTCTCAGGTCAGACCACAGCACTCTGCTGGTGAACCATAAACTGTATCACTGTGCTCAGTTGTTGTTGGACTCCCTTAGTCCTCACGTCACAATCTCTCTGTTTTCAATGGCACACTAAGATAAAAGCGTGTGCCAGAAATGTGTTCATTCCACCTCCAGGAGGGAAGCTGAAGTCACTTGCAATATGCAGCTGGAAATAAGGAGCATTGGTTGACCCAGGCTCTATGTACTAACTATTACAGTCTTTAGAGCATTGCTGACCTCATGTATGTGCAGCATATAGTGGCACAATAGCACAAATGCTTTATAAAAAATATTTTTGTAACATTTAAATGGGCATTTTGATTGAACTTAGGAAGTGAATAAACCACACATATGGCTATTATTTTATGTCGCTTATTGCATATGGCCGATGAAACGGCAGATTCAGTCATGTTAAACGTTTTGTATCTCGGTTCAAATCTGGTCAGGCTCTCTGTCTGTCTCTGTCCGACCACAGTTCCTGCAGTCAGCAGAGAGGGAGACACCTTTGTGAGCACCTCCATAGAGCAGGCCATCCGTAACGTGGACAGTGCTATTGAGTCCACAAGGAGACGTCTCTTTGATGGGTAAGATAATGACAAACTCACACACACACACACACACACACACTTGTTTGTACTTCTGTCTTTGTGAGGACACACATTGACATACTGTACATATAATGCATTCCCTAGCCCCTAACCACAACCTCAACCATCATAACTAAAGGCCTGACCCAAACGCTAACCCTCATTAACATCCTTCTAACCTCAACTCTAACACACACACACACACACACACACACACACACCTCAAGTCCCTCCAGTGACGGAACCAGAAAGCCACGCTGTTCATCACATGTTAGCAGTGAGGCATTATGTAAAATGAAGCATAAACATATTACGTCCGACATGTGTAATGTTAAACATAAATCTTACAATAAAACTGCAATTTAAGATTGTGGTGAACACTCATACTAACATTTCACAGCACACAGTTTGCCCAAAAAAAGAGGGGTGTACTTTCTTCCTGTGCAGTGTCTGCTCTAGAGAACCGGTCATGTACAGCCATTACTTTGTGTTATTGATTAGGCTTGCATTTAGGGATGTCTCGATCTGATCTCAAAGATCGGTATCGGGGGCCGATCAAGGCCTTTTTTTAACTGATGGGTATCGGTTTTGTTGAGCACAAACCTAAGCCCAATCCTTTGTTTTACATCAGCTGTCGCGCAGGTGTCATAAACGGAGAGCACGATTTGTGGCAAGACGCGGCTAAAATGTCAGCAGTGTGGAAGTATTTTAAATTGTAAAGCAAATGCAGTCCAACAGCCACTTGTAATGCCATGCAATGCGAGCATTTCATGAGGTGGTAGTAACAGAGCTGCGTTCAATACTACAGCACCTAAAAAAAATAATAAATGGAATACAGTGAGTTCACTCAGGCAGAGGCTGCACCGAGGCAACACACACTGGAGGATACTTTTAAAAGGGGAGAAAAATTTCCTCCCCCCCCCCCCCCAGAGTGGGTAATTGAATTCACTTTTTGAATTCGCTTTGGATGACTTGCCCGTTGCAGTGGTAGAGACCACAGGTTTTTGCCGTCTTTTGGAGCTTTTGGAGCCACAGTACGCCCTCCCCTCTCCACACCACAGACATTACTTTACCACAGACATTTGGAGGTCTGATGTTTTCCCCCTGTCATTGCTTAGCCTCACTGCACACTGGATCGCCTCCACTTTTGATTTGAAAATAATTGTAAAACAAAAAACATTGAGGAATTAAGGATTCAGGATTTTTTTTTCTTAATGCATTGCAGAGCTTTTCAATTGTCAAGCATACACATTGGATTGATTTTAATAACTTTTACATATTGAAGTGTGCACTGTGTGTATCAGATCGGGACTCAGTCTCGGCAGATACTTAATATTAAATGACTCGGATCAGGATGATCAGGACAACCATACTATTTAATTGCCACAAAGTCTAAAACTTAATGCAGCTCCGTATACAACAGCACATTTTGGTCATATTTTTTGTACTATGTTGCACTTAAGAAATGTGAAAGTCTAAAAATTAAACGCATCTTTGATATAGATTGTAACTAAACAGATTAGCGCAACAGTCTGCAGCAGCCTTATGTCATCACTCCTTTTACATTTAGACTAATTGAAATATTTTCTCCTGCAGTGACTCAGTGCAGAGCTAACGCTCACGGGGCCTAAGTTAGAATACAAATAGCTTGTCTCACATCATCTTGGCGCATGACTTGCATGTTTGAGTCAGAGCCTTCAGGCAAAGAGTGTGGCCATTCAAAAGGAGTGCTAATGTTGCTGCAAGTTTCAGAGATCCTGGCCAGCACCCCACTGCTTCAGTGCATAGGGATCAGAGTGCTTCAATTAGAACAGTGCTATTGCAGTTATGTCACTGAAAAAGATGTAGGTGGTTTCAGTATAACTCATAAGTGTTTCCATCCTGTTGAAGGATGTGCTGAGCAGTTGTTTTTGTTGGCATGCACATACATACACTCACTCACTCACTCACTCACTCACAAACCCATATACACAGACAGACGTGAAGAAGGGAAACACACACACAAACACACAGTGGTAACCTAAATGAAGATGAGGGGATTTCCATCTCTGTTTAAAGGAGCTATTTGTACATTTTGCTATAGCTACATAGCTAATGTTAGCATTAACAACTGTTTACTCAGCAGTCTTGCCAAGAGCTTCAGCCACAGTTAAATGTACAAGACAAGAGGTTATGATACATCCTCCGAGCAGTGCTACTTCTTCAGGGCAGACTGGACGCTACAGTGACATGCTAATGCTAATCTTGGCTCTGTAGCAATAGCAAAACAAAATAGCTCCTTTAATTGCATTTAGTTTTCATCATTTAAGACCTGGGGAAACACAGATGCACTTTGTTTCTATAATGGACAGCTGCTTCTGTCAACAAACAACATTCAGGGTCTAACTGTGACACTTAGCAGCAGCACAGCCAATGTGCTCTGTGATCAGAGTAACGTGCAGACGAGCAGTCTGCCTCTTATTCTGTGATTGCCATTAAAGGAGCTATTTGTAAGCCTTGCTCTTGCCAACATTAGCGTTGAAAGCTGTTTACGTACCGGTCCAGAGGAAACGTTGTGAGTTCTGCATCAAACTTCCTTCATTCACTCACCAAGAGCAAAGCAACCTTCTCGTTTTGCTTCTATTTCAATCACTTCTTTTCTTCTACTGAAGTTAGCACACTAACCAGCTAGCCCCAGCTCTGTTCACCGCCTCATCACTTTCCGATACCGAGTTGCTGTAGCGTCCAGTCTGCCCTGAAGTAGCAGCAGTAGCACTGCTCAGGGGATGTATTATAACCTCTTGTCTTGTTAACGCAACAGTAGCTGAAGCTCTTGGCAAGACTGGTGAGTTAACGGCTGCTCAGCTGTGTAGCAATAGCAAAACTTACCTTTGATAAGACTTGGCAACAGTTCTCCCAGCTTCACACCAGCGTTACTGTTGTTGGCTGTAGGAGGAAGAGTTTTATTATTTATTACATGATAACATATTTATATCATTATATGTTTCATATTCTACATGTATGTTCTGTGTTTATTAAAGAATATTTGCATATGCAGTATATTGCTCTTGCACCAGGAATCCACTAACAAGCTTTGCAACTGAACACATTTTCTCTTTTTAACACATTAAGATGTGAAATAACGTGTTTGCGTTTCATAGCAGCTTCACTTTCATTATTGCATTATGACATCATCTAAACGTGCTTGCAAAATGAGACGATTTTCGTTTTCAAACACCTGTGCATCTGGCATGTGGTTTAATGGTAAGCCATAACCTCAAGTCAAACTCTGGCTGAGCTTTAAAGGCCGGAGTTGAAAACATGTTTAGAAAATGACTTGAGGTGATAGTAAAGCAGTGCAGTGGTCTTCAGGAGGGAGTGGAAGCAGCAACAACATAGAGTCATGCGCACAAACTCAGCGGTAGGCTTATGATGGAGGAGATCCAACTCATGAGTGAAATGATTAAGATGTTTGTGCATGTTTTGGGCTTCTCCTTGTTTGAACTCTCTGACCTGCTGTAGCTGAGGCAAAGACATTTTCTGGAAAGTGTCAGAGAAAGCTCTGCCTGCTTTTGCTGCCCTCAAGGAAAACTGAAAAAAAAAAATCTATCCAGAAGAATGTGGTTTGAACATGCAATTGTTTTCTTTCTATTTGTCTTTCTTTCACCCTTTCTTTACTCCCGTACATTTTTCTACCATTTCTCACTCTTTTTTTTTTTTTGCTTTTTCTTTACATAACATCGTATTCGTTGTTCCTCCTCCTTCATCACTCTTTTCCTGCTCTCCCACCTCCCTAACACCCCATCTCCCTCATCCCTCATCCCTCCAGTCAGCCTCGTACCCCAGGAGAGTTGCTAGCTCTTTTCCGGTATCCACGGGACCCCTACACGGTGGAGCAGGCGCGAGCTGGGGAGATCTTCGAGCAAACTCTTCTGCTCATCCAGAACCACGTCAACCAGGGGCTCATGGTCGACACCAACGGCACCGGTGAGGCTGATAAACTACTGTGCTACTTCTGAAGGCGTCCAACCAGGATGTCGTACATTTACCCCGACTTTATCCCAGATCACATCTCTCACTGTGCAGAACCTAGACCAGGTTACACTGTAGCTCTACAAACAACAGTAAAGATTCATTTTGGCATTTTGTCTTTATACTAGAGCTGACAGTCGCCTCTTTTACACAGCCTGCTCAAGGCGGGAATGTTGCACCTTTATTCCATATATTAAGGTACAAACAAGGAATGGGGGGGGGGGGCATTGTTGTTGTGCCTTTAAGCCAGCAGCGGAGGTAGTCTGACATCTGTGTAAAAGGGAGAGCTGGACATTGCAGGACAGACGCCGGCGCTGTTGTCCAGAAAGTACACACGGGGGGCGGCATTACGCTAGTTTAGTTTAATTTGGTTTAATTTAGTTCAGTTTAGTTTAGTGTAAACAAGCAAAGGTGGCCTTCTAAAAGCAGTGTAGTGGGATCTCTGTGGAGAGCTAATGTAAAGCTGTGGTTCTCAAGGATCCCCAAGGGTCCTTAAAGGGGTTCCTGGGGGTCCCCAGCAAAAAGGGGAATCATTTATTTTCACTATAATTCCATCCATAAGAAACACAATGACAGAGTGTATGACTGTTGTGGTCATGGGTTTAAACGCTTTTTGTAATAAAACATCTAAAAGCAAAAATCTTATCAGATGGGGGACCCTGGGACAATATCTTGTCAAATGGGGGTCGGTGGTCTGATTTGTTTCAGTTTAGTCCTCGATGTGAACACTGGTGTAGAGAAACACGGGACAGAGAGTGGGGTATTACATGCGACAAAGGTCGGTTTCAGTTACATGGTATGCCCTCTAACCATCAGACTATCATGGCACATTGAGGTGTGTTTTCTTTGTTACATAAATGACTCTGAAGCCCCACCCTCTAACTGAGACATTGTAGATTAACCCTTTTTTTCCATTTGGAACTGCCAATGTGACAAGTTGTAAAGTGCAGATTCAACATTCATTATTATCAATCACTTGAAAGGAAAATCCAGTTCTATCATTGTGGCTTAATTCACCTGAAATATTGTTTAACACCTTGACGGCTGGAAGCTGTGACTTTGAAGTCTATTTATTAAGATATTAAGTCGAGTTTGAGTTTTCTTTAGATTGCGGACGCTCGTGATAATTTAAATCTCTTACACGTTTGCGTTTCGTGAGTGATGCTAACGAGTCTATTTTTCTACACAATCCAAGTATTGGAGACAGAAAACAATAAGCTGTTAGCTCTGACCTTTGAAAACTCAAGAACAGGTTGTTTGACCTGCTTCCTGTATTTCATCACTAACTGTATAGTAATATTGATAAAGCATCACCTCTAGGAGAGGAGAGGAGAGGAGAGGAGAGGAGAGTCATATCGTCACAGGCTCTGAAGGCTCCGTAGGTGAAGAAAGCCAAGTTCTGCTGCTCTCTGTCAGGGCGTGGACGGCCTCAGTGGGCCCCTGGGAGTCTGCTCGCTGGTTTACTGGTTTTGCAGGGCGGGGCCTTTGGCACACCATTGTCGATTATGTCGTATTCAAAGGATGGGGGAATAACCGCTGGAACAGCTTAATGCTCGGAGGAAATGACTGGTAGGTGTTCATACATTTCAGAGAGTATGACACCATCATGATTTCAGCTTTTTTCTGTGGACTCAAGTTGCTCCCGATGATCATTCCCATAGTTTAAGACAAGCATGAAGTGATCAGTACATAGGAGGAGGCTGTACTTTAAGCCATTATTAAAATCCATGGGGCTGTAATATCAAATTGACTAAACAGATGAAAATCACATGTGTTTGTACTTTGTCAGAGAAAACCTGAGATAAGCTTTTATATAAACACAGGTGTCAAGAGAATGGAAAGGTAAAGTTACAGAATACAGACTTTTACTCAGATGATTTTCTTCATCTGTTCAGTGTTTACATGTGTACTGCTCTCATCAGGTGACATTTAAAGAAGCTGTGGGCTGGGAAAGCCACAGGCAATGACCAATACCAGTAATCCAGTGAAGTCTCTGGGTTACTCTAAACAACATACAAATCAATGGACACCCACACTCTCAGATATAGATGCATATGTACATACTGTGCATATTTATTGGTGTTGACAAATTACAGAATTCTTGCAGTGTAAACATAACATCGTAGAGTGTCACCGTGAACTCAGTAAGAGGCTCCCCTCCTGTTTCCTAAGCGAAGTCTCATGCAGCCAGTAATTCAATTCTCAACCACTCTATGAATTACCATGTTATTGTGAGCAACACTTGGCTGTGTGTGAGCCCTCCATCTGCATGCCATTTTCTCTTAAGCGTGACCCGAGGCGTAGAGGACGTAATCACAGAACAGTTGACAAGGAGCCCATAAACAGTTTTATTAGGCCCTGTGTCACAGCTCACAACACTGAGCTACGTTCACGGTCCAGCACGGGGACAAATTCTAGGATGTTCTGTGTTTGGTGTGCACATTTCCTCAATTATGCATGCATGAGGTCGGGAGAGCACGGGTTAATTTGGATGTTTATACGCGTAAGCATCTGTCTTTGTTTGCATTCACATATGCATGGAAAAATACCCTGTGGTCCAAGGAAGAAAAGCATGAAAACACTCATTGTAATGGAGGGTTAGATTTAACAGCTCAAAAGGTCAAATGTGTACAGTTGTGTATAGAGTCTGTAATTATACATGATGTCTCATGTGGTGATCTATAAATGTATATAGCCTATAGATATAAAATCGATTCATAAAGGAGAAATAGGAGTGAAGAGCTGCAGGTTGTCAAGAGGGAAAGACTAAGGTAGAAAACAGTGTTGTAGGAAGGGGGGGGGGGGGGGGGGGGGGTAGAGCTCTGTGAAATAGGAACAAAGAGAGACAGTGTTTTCATTACTTATGCCAACAACCAAATGTTCATTGTTGCACTGGCCCCAAACCAAGTTAACAGAGAGATTTCTGCCCGTCAGCAGAAACAAATGAGCTGTTTTTATTGTAGCTCTACTTCATCTGGGAGGGCAATGCCACAGTTTCCCCATTCTCCTCTCTGCCCACACACACACATACAAAGCCACACGCCACACCAATAAGTGTGTGTGTGTGTGTGTGTGTGTGTGTGTGTGAGAGAGAGAGAGAGAGAGAGAGAGAAAGTGAGTTAGAGAGAGGGGAGTTTTAGAGTGGAACTCGCACCTATACCTCAATGAGGTTGAGGGCACACACTTAACACTTGTTAAGTTAACTTGTTCTTATGCATAACCAGAACACCACATTGCTAACACATCACACATCACACACACACACGCACACACACACACACACACACACACACACACTGAGGCTACATATTGGTGCTTTCACATTTCAAAGCGAGTCAGGGCAGGTTAGTGAAACAGAGAGGTTCTTTCCAGTCTGAGTGCTATAAAAAATATTTTATCAAATATGTACAAATGTGTATATATATATATATAATATGTGTGTGTGTGTTTTTTTACAAATCAAATATAATTTTTTTTCATTATTTTCATAAATCTGTTGCCTGTGAACATTTATCTTAATAACATGTTGAATTTATGTTTCCTTTCCACAGCGTTTCGCTACAATGACCTGGTGTCCCCCCACTTCCTGGATGTGATCGCCAACCTGTCCGGCTGCACGGCCCACCGCCGCTTCAACAACTGCTCTGATATTTGCTTCCACCAGAAGTACCGCAGCCACGACGGCACCTGCAACAACCTGCAGCACCCCATGTGGGGCGCCTCGCTCACCGCCTTTGAGCGACTCCTGAAGTCCGTCTATGATAATGGCTTCAACCTGCCGAGAGGTGCCACTGAGCGGCTGCATAATGCGTTCAGGCTGCCACTGCCGAGGCTGGTGTCCACCACCATGATCGGAACCGAGACCATCACCCCCGATGACCGCTACACTCACATGCTGATGCAGTGGGGTCAGTTCCTTGACCACGACCTGGACTCGACGGTGGCTGCACTCAGCCAGTCGCGGTTCTCCGACGGCCAGCTGTGCACTCAGGTCTGCACCAATGACCCACCGTGCTTCCCGATCCAGTTCCCCCCCAACGACCCACGGCAGCTGCGGAGTGGCGCCCGCTGCATGTTCTTTGTCCGATCCAGCCCTGTGTGCGGCAGCGGGATGACGTCTCTACTCATGAACAGCGTTTATCCAAGAGAGCAAATCAACCAGCTGACGTCTTACATCGATGCTTCAAACGTCTACGGCAGCTCGCGACACGAATCGGAGGAAATCCGAGACTTGGCGAGCCAAAGGGGTCTGCTCCGGCAGGGCATCATACAGAGAACAGGGAAGCCTCTTCTGCCATTTGCCACCGGACCACCAACTGAGTGTATGAGGGACGAGAACGAGAGTCCAATTCCCTGTTTCTTAGCAGGAGACCACCGCGCCAACGAGCAGCTCGGGTTGACCGCCATGCACACGGTTTGGTTCAGGGAACACAACCGCATAGCCACAGAGCTGCTGAGGCTCAACCCCCACTGGGACGGGGACACCATCTACCACGAGGCTAGGAAGATAGTGGGGGCCCAGATGCAGCACATCACCTACAGTCACTGGCTGCCAAAGGTAACAGTCTTTCTTTAATCTCTTGTTTCTGTGATTGTTGCTCAAGTTGATAACGACAAGACGATTACATCCCTTTTCCCGTCTCCTAGATCCTGGGTGAGGCGGGCATGAAGATGATGGAGTCGTATGCCGGTTATAACCCTAACATCAACGCTGGCATCCTCAATGCTTTCGCCACTGCTGCTTTCCGCTTCGGTCACACCCTCATCAACCCGATACTCTACAGGCTCGATGAGGAATTCCAACCCATCCCCCAGGGACACATCTCGCTGCACCGGGCCTTCTTCTCCCCGTTCCGCATCGTGAATGAGGGCGGCATCGACCCCCTGCTTCGCGGGCTCTTTGGCGTCGCCGGTAAAATGCGTGTGTCCACGCAGCTGCTAAACACAGAGCTGACGGAGAGGCTGTTCTCAATGGCCCACGCTGTGGCTCTGGACCTGGCTGCCATGAATATACAGAGAGGAAGGGATCATGGGATACCGCCGTACAATGATTACCGGACCTTCTGTAACCTGACCTCAGCTCAGACGTTTGACGAGTTGAGGAATGAGATTAAGAACCCGAATGTCAGAGAGAAACTACAGAGGTAATTATAGACTCAAGATTATTATTCATATTTTTTAGAGTCTTACATAATGTGGCTTGAGACCAGTATAGCTACTGGAACCAGCTAACTGTGGGCTAAAGTCATATCTATGAACACTTGAGTTACTTCAGGGAAGCTTGTGTTACATAATGATTCTCAGCTGCACCTTATCGTCACAATTTATGGTCCCTGACTCTTTGTCCTGTGTTGGCAGGCTGTATGGCACTCCGCTCAACATTGACCTGTTCCCTGCCCTGATGGCTGAAGACCTGGTTCCTGGCAGTAGACTGGGGCCCACCCTCATGTGCCTGCTGGCAACTCAGTTCAAACGCCTGCGGGACGGTGACAGGTACAGTAAGATCACAAGACATCTCATCTCACCAACACATTTCCTGATGACATGAAGGAATTTCTCCAGTTCACCCAGCCGGTCACTTTCAAGGGGACTTGCTGGTCGTTTTTATGAAGCCTGTGCTGAGGTCGGCTATTTTATCGTGATAAAAACTGAGGCCAGTGTATAATAATGATTCAAGCTTCTTAGCGATATTTTTCGAGAGGATCGTTCAAGATTATCAATTACATTTTTATGCCTCTGCGTCAGCACCAGCCAGGACGGCAGTCATTGTGTTTTTGGGTTGTCCATCCGTCACATTCTTGTGAACGCAATATCTCAGGAAAGACTTGAGGGAATTAGAATTAGGTGGTCAAAGGTCGAAGGTCACTGTTAACTCACAAAACATGTTTTTGGCCATAACTCAGAAATTCATTCACTATTTATGACACAATTAAACACAAATGTCTATAAGGATAAAATGAAGTGATGACATTTTATACCCAAAGGTCAACTTCACTGTGACATCATAATGTTCAGCAAAAACACTTAATTCAATGCTGTAACTCAGGAAGGAGAGATTGTGACCATGTTTCCTGTAACTTGGCTGGTTGGTGGAGGGATACAGTTGCAAGGCAGTAATTCTGTTATTGAGCTTAAGACATTCAGCTGATCCTTGTCGGTAAGTGCAACAATAGTATATTGTATTAAACCTCTGACAGTCTCGCTTTTAGGAATCATGTAACACTTAAGACTTCTTCATCGTGTCAAAGTGAGAGGTGACAAGAAATCTATGTCACCCACCCCCCCACCCCCCACCCCTCTTGTACAGATTCTGGTATGAAAACCCAGGTGTGTTCACTCCCGCCCAGCTGACCCAGCTGAAGCAGGCCTCTCTGACCCGGGTGCTGTGCGACAACGGGGACAACATCACACGCATCCAGCAGGACGTCTTCAGGGTGGCGGAGCTGCCCCACGGCTACGGCAGCTGTGACGACATCCCTCAGATTGACCTGCGCATGTGGCAGGACTGCTGTGAAGGTGAGAGGATGTTAGTTACCAGGTTACTTTCATTATTTTGCTTCCTGTGGGCCTCAGACTCAGATAAGCAAAATATTCTGATGTCTTCTGTTTGGACACTGTTGTGTTATATATCATCTGTCCACACTCAATAACTCATACCGACAAAGTGTTTTCTTGCTCATTTCATTTATTTAAAAATGTGCCGTTTGTTCAAACCCATTCACACACATAAGATCAGATAATTAGTAAGAGCTCTTAGTATGAAGCAGTCTAATACAACTCCACTAACTATAACTTGGTATCAACAAAAGCTTCAATAAGCCTCCCTTTCAAAGAATATGTTCATGCTAGTATCAGTTTACATGAGTTAGCTGCAGATGTCAGTCACAACTGCTATAAAAAGATGTGCAGGCTGTGTTTCCATATCCAGTGTTAGTGACATGTTCTGAAAACACCATAACCTCTCGCAGCTCCATCTTTCATCATCTCAGCTGGTTTTTGAAGCCTGCGTCTTTTTTCCATGTTGAAAGAACACCTAGTTTAACAGCGCAGGAAGTTGCGGAGACGTCTCCGTCACCGGCTCACACTGCTCCACTGTCTGGGGCTGTTCTGTAAAATTAAAGCCGTACAATATCCTCACCTTTTGTTTCCCTCTGACAACATCTCCCTCGAGGCAGCTCGGCTTCACAATAATCACCAGTTATATGCTGCAATTTAGAAACCCCCGCCCCCTCTCTGAAAGGAACAGGGTTATTCTTTGACCACAATTTGCTTGACAGCACTCCTAACTCCTGGATTTCACTCAGTGTAAACGCTGCTTGACTCCGTATCAAACCACAAAGAAGAGCCGAGTGGAGAAAGAAATGTTTTTTATCAAGCTGGAGCACCTCAAAATGAAAAAGAGAAACAGCGTCAGCGTCTGTCAGAGGTTGATTTTAAAAAAATAAAGTTTGAAGTCAAATGCCATGAGATGTCATGATGGCATTTCTGCTCTGCTGGATCAGCACCCCCTCCTCCTCCTGAACTCTCGTCATAGAGCCGAACGTTGTGCTTTTCACAGACTGCTCCGGCTAATTGCAGGGGTAAGAGATGGTATTTGGAGTTAGGTCCGGGATGTTTAAACATTCCGCCCGTGGGTGCAGCTGACAAAGCAAAAAAAGGAGGTGAATGAAGAGGCACCCCCCGCTGTTATTGTAAACCAGCATGAGGGTTTAGAGTGATTGTTTGCTTTGTAGCATTTATTTAGAAATATGATCAGACGTGAAATGAGCAAGTGTCTTAGATTACAAGGGATAATCTCAGGTTTTAGATGAACCCTCTTGACCTGTGAGCCACGCAGCGACTGTGACTGAACAACGAGCATCTTCACACTGAGCTTGGAAGTATGAAAATGTAATCAGTGCTCCACTGTCTTTGGATTTTAAGTGACAAAACGTGGCCATTTACTGCCCACTATCACACATACAGCCTTGGGGCAGGTAAAGCAGGTCGCCTGCTTATCAGAAGGTCGGTGGTTCAATTCCCGGCTGCTCCAGTCCACATTTCAAAGTGTCCTTGGGCAAGATACTGAATCCAAAACTGCCCCCAATGTATGATTGGTGTGTGAGTGTGTGTGTATGGCAGAGAAGCGCTATATGTGCTATATAAGATAACACTTCATTAATCCTAAAGGGATATTAGAGTGTTCAAGCAGCTTACATTCAAGACAGATACCAATAGAAGTAAGAAAATCATTTCAAATAGAATATTAATAATAATACAATAACAATAAAATAAATAGCAATAAAATGAAAATGTATTTACAATGGTTGTATAAACAGAAGGTATATGGTGTGTGTTATATATGTTTACTTTACCTGTTTTTCAGGTTTGCCTTAAATGCACAAGATTAAGATCAAAAACATCAGCGCTGACAAATGAAAAATTCACAGTCAGCTAAGTGTTTTTTTTTTTGGGTGGGGGGGGGGTTTATTGGTGCAAAAACAAGACAATAGGGTTTATCGACACAAAGACTGAGACAAAATATGAATGAACAAAAGATTATGTATATTACAGAGTATTATATGTTACAGTGTAGTCCATTTACATACGGCCTCAGCCTCCTTGCCTTTTTACATTTGAACACAAATGAAGTCATGTAAGAAGTCACGTGGTTGTGTGTGTGTTCAAGATTCTACCCAAAAACACCTATGATATCACATGAATGGGCTTCAGCCACCAGTGTGACAGGACTCAATACAGTTCCACACAGTTAACACTTGACGTGTCACGTTAATGTAACACCAAATTCATTTCAGATATTGATTAAACTGTGTGTGTGTTTTCTAATGGACAATGCCACAGTGTATAATGTGTGAATGAATAATGTACATAGGGCTGCATTTGGGATAAATGAACTCTTGCCTGATGTAGAAGCATGAGGAAAATGATAATTCATTATCATTGTAGAAAACAATGTAAAGGGATTTAAAANGGGTGGGGTGGGGGTGGAGGAGTTACTGTAGTTGTTTTCGTCTGTCTGTCAGTAAAGCTGCAGCCAGATTCACAGTTGTGTTTGGCTCAATTAACAGAGAGGACACTGCTGAGAGCNAAAAAAAAAAAACATTTTAATAAGCAACACATGGTGCCTCTTAATTATTCTCCTTTCATCCCAGAGACTGAGCCCGGCGTTCGACCTTCCTCAACAAAATGTACAAGAGAAGAGCAAAGCTAATAAACAGAGAATATCCTGCCAGAAAGAAGAGGGAGGGGGTGGGGTGGGGTGGAGGAGTTACTGTAGTTGTTTTCGTCTGTCTGTCAGTAAAGCTGCAGCCAGATTCACAGTTGTGTTTGGCTCAATTAACAGAGAGGACACTGCTGAGAGCTTGCTGTATGTGTGTGTGTGTGTGTGTGTGTGTGTGTGTGTGTGTGTGTGTGTGTGTGTTTGCAGCACAGCAGGGTATGAGCGTACATCTGTGTGCAAATGCGTATCTGTCAGCGTGAGATAGGAAGTCTCGTTGTTTTTAGATAGTCTTTGTCTTTTACAGACTGTTGTCTGGTAAATCAAACGTGCTCTGAGGCCGAGCAGATAAGGACGCAGCCCTCCTGACTGCACGGCCTGATCCATTCATCCGTCCTTCCTCGGGTTTATTATCAGCTGTCTCTTGATGCTCTTCGCTGATGCTCAGCGTGCCCCAGATGTGTGCTGGGGCGTGAGCAGGCTTCTCTGTTTGTGTGTGTTTTTCATTCTCTTTGATCTGGGTACAGTGATTGCAGCGTGAGAGGGAGGCTTGGTTATACAGTAAGCCTCAGAGTCCTGGGTCAGCACTTTGAAGCAGAAAGACAGGGGCTTCAGCAGTCATGCTTTCCTGTTTCGTGTACATACCCATGTGCGTCAGTGACATTAAAACAGAAGATTGAACTTATTTTCCTACACAGGTCATTTCCTTTATTGGCCGGACTGCAACAATGGGGCCAGCCTTATAATCACAAATGCCCATGACTGACTGACTGACTGACTGACTGACTGGTAGAACTGAGTGATCATAGTTCCATTGGTCAGTCAAATGCTACATGACAAAGCTGCAGTTTCTCCATTGGCCGTTGCTCTTTCAAGATGAATTGGCAGGATTTAGATTTACAGACAAAAAAAAGCCCCTAGTGACAAATCTAGTGACTTTTTGGACAAACCTTTACGACTTAGAAGAGAGGAACTAGTAAGTAACGCCCTCTCTCTCTCTCTGTCTACTGTGTTCAGTGAGTGGCAGAGAGTCAGATGGAGGCTGTGCGCTGTGAGAGAAAGATATTCTGTCGCTTGTAACTTTCTCTCTGAGTGATCATTTTACAGTAAATATAGCCAGAATCACAGCTCAGTCTTTGTCTTTAACTGATGTGTTTGGTGATTTTGTCAGAAAACGTTGTGGTTATAAAATCCAGATTTTAGCGGCGACTTAAAATGTCGTCTCAATGGGCCGCGTTTCAGTTTCAGATTGTTCCGTTGCCATGACAACAGAAACAGAAAAACATCTAAATGAGAACAGCTTTGTGAATTAAAATCTTGTATATGTGAGCACAGAGAGGAGGAGAGAAGCAAACACATTAAGAGCTGAAACCAGTTGACACTATGCAGAATGCAAACAGGCCACGATGAAGTCAGTTGTTTACAGCTGTTCCACAACAGTTTTCAACAATGTCCTCAATTACACTGACCATACCTTGTCTTGTTCTTTTAGCTCCTGAATCTCCTCAGTGTTGTTGTTTTATCATATTGAAGAAGAAAATATAACTTGATTCTGAATATCCATGTGGTAAATCAATAACAGCTCCTTCTCCTGTCACCCTCTGCGATTGGTTGTTCCTCTGTTAGTGAACTGCAGTGTATTGTGTTGTGTTCCACCAGACTGCAGAACCAAGGGTCAGTTCAACGCCCTCTCATACCACTTCAGGGGACGCAGATCAGCTGAGCACAGCTACAGAGAGAATAAACCAGACGACAGCATCCAGGAGAACAGGTAACACGGCCTAGAGTTTAGAAACATTGTGACGTTGTGGTATCGATATGTGACTATGATGTTAGTGAAATGCTTATTCTACACGGTCTATTGACCAAAGCTGTTCTCTGTGTGACTTTAACCCATATATAATGTAATGTATGTACATATAAAATAAAAATATATGTAGAAATTATATATTAAACCTATTAGAAATTGAAATAATTTCATATATTGACATATATGTCTAGCTCATACCTATATGTAGGTTTATGTTCGATGCTTATATTGTAGACATATGTTACTTAAATATATCCATCCATACCAAAGCCTGTCTGTATATATTGATATCATAAACAGTAGGGTCCAAGAGTCTGAGCTCACTCTCCCAAAATGAGAAGATATTCATGTTTAAAATTAGTAAGAAATTAGTGCGAAAAAAACGTATAAAACAGAAATCTATGTTGTTTTAATAAACTTGCATATATAAATTAAATATATATCCCTAACATATATGGCCACAATTTGCTATACTATAGGAAAATGAATTGGTACTTTTTTAATTTATGTAAAAATACAAATTTTACTATGGGTATTTCATATATTTTACAAACGTATATCTTCATAAAACTAGAGGATGTATATACTGTTTGTGATAATAATATAGATTCATCAACAACATCACTCTTGATATAGAGAGATATATGTCATATGTTACATTTCTGTGTGTGAATTCAGCTGTTTGAAGTTCAGAATATTTCAAGTAAGACTTTAGGACTGCTATTATGTGATGTACTGTATATGTATAGGTTTATGTATATGTATATGTATTGTATGTCTTACAAAGACTCTAGTTCTAGAAATCTCACCTAATTCTATGCGTGCACATTTATCTTTGCAGCCCAGTGGAGGAAACGGTAGAAAGTCCAGTAAATGTTACTCTGACCTCCAAAAAAAGCACTGAACCCTCAGTCACCGACTTCCAGGACTTTGTCTCTGACATGCAGAAGACGATTACAAGTTTACGAAAGCAGGTGTGTGTCTGTATCTACACACACACACACACACACGTAAAGGGATTCATCTTTGTGCATTCGTTGCCATTGTGTCTTGATACGTGTTTGCATCTGTGCATTAGGGGGCAGGATGCAGAGAAACAGTCTCTGATGGTAATTGAAGCATCTTACTGTACTGTACAACACATTCAGCTGCCGCCACACTCTCTGTATCTACCTGACAAATGACCAGAGGAGAGCAGATGGAGTTCAGTGTCATGAAAACGAGACATGTGATTAAGAGTATGATATTAGATCTGATCAGATTGCTATGATCATTTCTTTATTTGAGAAGGTTTAGGCAGACATTGTTGTCACGGGAGGTGTAATCCTTATCCAGAAAGAGGAGGTAATTTACCTTTTTACTACTGAAAAGGGGGTGAATAGAATACGTTCTTTATGTGGAGGAGGATGAGCGTCTCAAACTCTAATCTGAGACATTTACAGTTGAGCATCCCTCTCCCCCTCCCAGGAAATTTAAAACAGTCCCATGAGTTTAAACACGTCCTGCTCCCCCTGCACATGCTGCCTGCACGCCTGCTATGTCTGTTTAAGGGAAACTGTGCTGTAGGCTAAAACACAGACGCAGTCAAAGCCCCATACATACAGACATGTTTTCCATTAACATGTCAGCGGTACAGTTAATTCCTCAGGATGGGGCCCAGCATCCTGACCTTGTCCTCTGGTCAGCCACAGCCTTTTGGATGCTGGATGGTTGAAGTAAGAAAAGTCCAGTGTTTTCAGAGGGTTGAAAAATGTAAAGAGAGAGTGTGGGGTTAGGATTCGGTTGGATTCATATCACAGTATCCCTTGGTAGTTCATATTGCACATATATGTCACAGTGTGGACAATCTCATGTATATGTAGTCCATGTGTCAAAATAATTGTTGCAGTAGATAGAGACATGTGGAGGTTCTGATGTACCCAGAAACAAGCGCTCCTCTGACCGAACGTCTGTGTCCTCGTATCTTTTCAGATTAAAAGACTTGAAGCCCGTCTGAGGAAGACTGACTGCACTGATAGCGAGGGACGTGAGCGAACAGATGGAGAGCGGTGGAAAAAGGACTCCTGCTCCATATGTGAATGCAGAGTATGTTCAACATATAAATCAATACTCAGAGCGAATGGTTTACGCACCGCACAAACACTTAATCCTCTCATGTTTCACACGGAAAAGCTGATCATGTTTGAGTCTCTCTGTGTTTCTCATTGAGGACACCATGTCTGTGCGAGCAGTCTGCCCAGTTTAAATGCCCCACTTTCTCTCTGTCTGGCACTCTCGCAACTGTTTCACCTCTTCCAGCACCTCTTGGCAGTGCCCTCCTCCTGGCACCGGTGTCTCCCCACAGTGTGTTTGTGTGCACCGGCCACTTTTCTGCCTTTCATTCTTTATCTCTGACACTTTTCCGATGCCAACTGCTGGCACAGGTGATCGCAGCACCCGTGCCAAACCTGGCTGCCTCCGATCCTCCTCAGCCCTCTGTGACACAGTTTATTTTGCTCACCACATCTGATAACACACCTGTCAGTTCCTCTTTTGTGTTTCCCTCTCTCTCTCTCTCTCTCTCTCTCTCTCTCTCTCTCTCTCCCCCCTTTGGCTTCCCCAAAACTATCTTCTTCCACCTTCCGCGCCTCCCTGTAATTGGAGGATTTTTTTTTGTAATAATTAAATTTGGCAGGCGGAAGCACAATGAGAAAGCCTGTCTGGGGAAAGAACAGTTCGGTTCAACACATCATGTTGTTGCTGTGAAACAAAGCCCTTCATTGTTCTGCTCAGCCCTGTCGTCCATCACCTTCACAGAGGCTTGTCGTGAGCAAAACGTTTCAGTTACTGTTCTGTGCCCAACAAAAGCACGACGCAGTGCAAACAAAGTAACTGCTGAACTCAGAACACACACACTGAAATCATTCTTTAAAACCTTTTTTATCGGTGAAGTTATTATAGAAAATAGGCTGTTATACTGTTGTAATGTTTGGCTGTGCTGCACCTAATACCTCCCAGTTTCTCTATTCTTTTTTCTTTTTTTTTTTTAATACATTTTTTTTTCTTTGCTGTGTCTCGATGTCTTGGTTGCAGCTGGCCAGTTTCCTTCCAGCGATCATGAACATTTCATCTAATCTAATCTAATAAGGTAACTGACCTATTGCCCCTTCTTTGCCCCCCCCCCCCCCCCCTTCTTCCCTCTCCCCAGGATGCCCAGGTGACCTGCTTTGTGGAGTCTTGTCCACCGGCCAAGTGCAAACGGCCTGTCAAGTTAAAAGGCGCCTGCTGCCCGGTGTGCCTGGAACAGCCAGATGTTGACAAGCGACAAGAAGCGGACACCCACCACGACTAACCCTCAGGACCCCCCTGACAAACACATTCTAGTGTCTGAAAGTCACACAACACACACAGACATCCAGAGAGAGGATGAGACTCTTGAAGGTGTGCTAATCCGCAGCCACCAATAGCCTCGATAGACCCAATAGCCTCAGTTTTTTTGTTTTGTTTCACTTTGTATTCTTTTTCTTTGATCAGTGGAGGGGTTGGGGTTTTTTTTTTTTTTTTTTTTTTTTTTTTTTGTTCTTTTTGGCCTCTTGCCCCCTCCAGGACCAGCAGCCTGAGGCTCAGTTTGAAATCCTTTGGCAACAAGCCAGCAATCACTAAATGGATTTATTTCTGAACCGATGGGTGGATGCATGGATGAATGGGTGGATTGTAAACAAGACGGACAAAATCTCTCCTCCTCGCTTGGAGTCCACTGAGGCCTCTGAAGTGTAACAAACAGCCACTGTGTTTGCTCTCCTGCGACTAACACTTGGTGACAAAACGCAGGGGCCAGTTTGCCGTCGACAAGCGGGAAAGGGAAGTAGATTGAAAGGCGGCAGCCGTTATGTTGTATCACAGAATTTTCTCAGGTTAGAGATGCCGAAAACTGGTGCTATTTTCCCCCCTTTTTTTTTTTTATTAATGATTTAATCACTAAATACAAATCTTCAGTATTGTCTTTTGTATACAAAGCAACCTATATACACTCAGTATATGCCTTTTAATGATAAATCACAATTGAGAGGATTGTTTTATTCAAACTAAAAGACTTTATGAATAGAGTTACTTCATCTTTTAATCCACGGTGCTTTATATCATGTAATGAATATGTATTTTTTTTTTTCTGTCCCTTTTTTGTATAAAAAAAAAATGCTTACATATGAAGATAATGTGAAGCCCTACAAAAATGTTTGTAATGCAAAAGAAATGTCTACTGATTACTGCTCCTCTATCCTTGGACAACTTTTTAGTAAACGTACTTATTGTCTCTGCTGGCCTGTCCTGAACTTGAGTGAGGTGGAGCCGCACGGCGCTCCCCATTGCAGGACACTCGATCCAGCTCTTGCACTGTTGTGCTTCTTTCCAAGTGTCATTTTGCTTTCAGAAAGCAGTGAGAGAATCTCCATTTTTACCACTGTCATGTTGTGAACTGTCCCAGTATTTTTTTTTTTTTTTTTTTTTTTTTTTTGCTCAGTCTTCTAAAGCCAAATGTATGAAAAATGATTTAGTAACTTCTAATATTACATAAATAGCACATGTTCTATCTATGAAACTATGTATGAATGTTGTATTGAGGTCAGGATTTAGCCTTTGGTACTGCGAACTCTACCACAGCAGTATTCTCCCTCTGACCTGCTCATAGTTGTTTTTTTTTTTTTTTTATTCATGTTTATTCATCTTTAGTCCACAGACTACAGACAATTGAAGGACTGCTACCATGACTGTTGACTGTTCTTTTCTGCCTTTGTGGACCTGCTCTCTTAGCCCCAGTTTACACAAGGACACGCTTGCATGCATTCCTTTAGTCGAGCGTCCGCTTTTCTCTCTTTAAGCTTTTACTCATGTGTGTTGAGTTTTTTTTGGACGTTTCCACCTGCGAGGACCATCTTCAGTGTTGATGTAGGTTAGGGAACGCTCGGCCTGTTCATGTTTCTTTGCCGTGTTGAAGATTTTGAGACCGGGGGTGACGTCATTCAGCAGAGCATATGTGGTGCGCAGGCTTTCTCTAGCCCTCTGACCCTCATTCCACTGTAATGGAAGCCATATGAGAGGGGAAGCAAGGGTGATGTTGGGGGATGGGTGCTGATGATTGGGATACAGTGTCAATCAAAACAAGTCTTCAACGTGTTGCTATTGTGAGACAGATTTATTCCACTGACTCCTGTCAGCTGGTCCTCCACAAGTACTGTACATAGACAAACGCCGCTCACTGTACCCCATGCACTGGCTCACTTAGTGTAACAAATGTCACGTTTTTTGTTTTCCTGTTTTGCTTTGCTCCTAATTGTGTCGAAGCGGCTGCAGCTGCAGTGTTCCTTTCCATTGTTTTCTTTATGTGGTAACGTCCTGAGCAAGCATCTGTCACTAAACAGAAATAATACTCTCTGGAATGTTCCATTCAGGATTCCAGATGGATTATGGGGCTGGCAGTCGCACTGGTAAATTGGTATCATATCACATGTTTGAATATACTGGACAGGTTTGTACATCAAACTGTGTGTTTACAGTTGTGTATTTTTCTCTCCTTCGTTGCATTCTGACTGTGGCTTCTCCAACAACACCAGTAACATCATGTTGTCTGATGTGTTTATGTTTTACTGAATTTAGTATTTTGGTGTAATTTCATAAACTCTGTGAATGAGTGAGTGTGTGAGTCTCTTTCTGTCTCAGTAACAGGCTAAATGCATTTCGGCCCAAGGTTTGGCTGCCAAAGCACTGTGAGCTCTCTTTGTTACCAGTCTTGATTCATATATATCTGTTGTATTAGTTCATTTTTGTTTTCATCATGGTTCACTCTCTTTTTCATTTCCCCTTAAACTCCCAAATGTCAATGGAATGCACTGCTCTGCAAGACTGAACATGCTTTACCTACACTGTCCCTTAACCAGTGGTCAATGTGGATATAGTAGTACCTGTCATGACATTTGTATTGTATTGTACGTTTGCCAAAGAATGGTTTGCACTGTAATGTATGCCTCTCAACAGTAATAATAAATAAATAAGCCACATTTGAATTACAGCCATACATGTTGGTGCCTGTTCTTTTTCAGCTCCCGTGCATGGCAGAGGTTCACCACCGATCTGCAGATGAGATTAATCGTAAAGATGCGACCTGTCATCGGCTCATTAATGGACTGTCAAAGCTCAGACTTTTGGGGATTTTGGTTTTGCTAATCATGACAAACTATGTTTTGCACTGATCACATTCATCTAACATCAGTGCAGTCTTGCTCTAAAGTTAGCAGTCTCTGCTTCAGTGTGCTGGTCAATAACATGGGCACTTGGTGAAGTCTGAAGTAATCTAGTACTTTGCACTTGATTAGTAGTTTCTGTACTTCCTTAAGAGTTTAAAGTGTGTTTTCATATTTGACTTGCTACTAGCTGTAGGGTGGACACTACTAGCCCGCCAGCCCAGTCCCAACAATTGGATTGTCATGAAATATGATATAAACATTAATGCGCCCCTCAGAATCAATACTGATAACTTTGGAGATCCCTTAACCTTCTCTTTATCACCAGGTTAAATACTTGTGACATTCCCATCAGCCTCAGCTGTGCAGCTGTGCAGTACACTTTAGGTAAACTTAGCAAATGCTAGCATGCTAACACACTGAACTACGAGAGGACAGCAGTCTTTTTCGGGGGGGGGGGATCTGATGGGTGACAAGCAGGTAAGAAGTTATAACCAAAGTGAGCTTTTTCAAGCATCCTTGACTCAGCTTCTACGTTCTGAGATCAGTTATGATATTGCCCTCGTTATACGCATGCGCAGAGTGTGTGGAAACTAAACCTGCACGCAAATAGGCACTAGTTTCTCATCTGTGCAAGAACTGCAGTAAATTTGAGACAGAATATTGTTACACAAGTAGCGCAGCTCCTTTCAGGATTAACGTACGTGGGTTGTGTAAGTACCAGGCGAGAGAGAGAGTCAGAGAGAGCGGTGATGAGGCGGGAGTAGAGTTAGCAAGCTAGTTAGCAGTGTAGCTGTGAACATACAGTGCGATGTGTGTGACCTTTAGGCTATTTTGTGCTACAACTACAACTACAGCTACAACTACAGCTACAACTACAAGTCCTCAAGACCGAAGTCCTTGTGTGCTTCAACTACAGTACACACAACGAGCCAGGTATGATTACAACACTGTCAGTTCAGATGAAAGGTGAAGATGCAGCAGAGACTTTCAGCACAGGAAAACAAGCGGCACAAAATCGTGACACAGGACAGGCACTGAATTTAAGAGAGATGTGCTGCTGCTACTGTCACAAAATAGTTATATGTTAGTCTGGTCCATATGTTTGTAGTAAAAAGCTGAATCGCACACTGATTTTTTTTTTGGGGGGGGGTGTCTCGGCTCTGCTTGCCTATCTCTAAAAGTCCCCACACACTGCTGGTGTATACTCTGTACACAGTATGCTACATGTGAGTGTACTGATACAAGTATCTGATTTGAGACAGCATCAGTCTTGTTCTGCTTTGTGTGGTTTTCTGCCAGGTTTTGACTTGTGAGACAACACTCCCTCTGAAGCAAATGTAGACAAACAAAAAGCAGCTGTTAAGTGTCTGGGGAGTGATGTTTGCAATGTGAGTAATATTAGCCATTGGAGAAGCCTGGGAACATTAACCCTGTGATGCTGAGCCTGCCTCAGACTGTTATTCACATGTGCTGTCTGGCACACAAACCCACAACCCACACACTGAGTTCAGATGTGTGGTTTGTGGCAAATTATCTCTGCTCTGGATTCGTCTTGGTCAGATCAATACTTGTGTATTAATAATGATCAGAACTTGACATACGTTTTCCCCGTTTATCCCTGCTCCCGCCTATCTCCATCTACATCTTCCTACTTTCTTTCCTCCATCCACGTTACAGCCTCGGTGCTCTGTACTTCTCCCTGTAGAGTCAGTGCTGGCAGCCAGGGCCGTGAGTGGACTCAGGCTTTGGAAACGAAACTGGACCAGGAAATGAGGTTTCCAGTGGCTGCACAGATAAAAGAGCCTTCATCTTCAAGCCAGGCAGGAAAAGACATTATCACCCTGACAACAAGAGACCTACGTTACTCAGAGTAATAGGTCTATTCCTGGGAGATCAAACATGAATACACACAGACACACAGACACACAGACACACACACACACACACACACACACACACACACACACACTTCCTCTGGGTTGTTCCCATATCTGCTGCAGAGTCTCCCTTTCCTTTACTGGCAGCCAAAGGTCCGGGCTGTTGTTTGAATGAAGTCTCCTTTGTTTACTTTGGAGCGAGATGGACAATCTGATTATGTAAGTGAGAAAGTGCTGTAGGTGTCTGGAGCTAGATTCAGGCAGACAATAGGAGACACACAACTACCAGTCAGCAAGCCATGTATAATCCCACAAAATGTGCTATTCAACTGAGACCAAAGCATCTATTATTATGGATCTGAATCTTTTCAAATCATACAGCAGTCTACAGAAAAGAGGCAGAGGA